TCGAACCATATTGGAATAATTAATGAGATTGTTAAAGAAGTATTATTATTTTTATTTTGATAAAACAAATCGCGCGTCAAATTTTTTGATCTAAATTTTGAACGATCATGCCAATCACGAGATTTTGATCACCAGCCAATAAAATCGAAATTTTGATCATCATGTCAATCACGAGATTGTTGATCATACCGGCCAATAAAAACAAACTATCCCTATGCTGAAGCACAAGTACCCCTTTTTATAGGCACATCCCTTGTGACCAAAAAACAGGTGATTATATAAATAAATCGTATGATGATTTTTTTCAGGACAATAACTGATATTTTTGGATTCTTTTTTTATTTTAGACTTTGATTTTTGTTATTTTTAGATCAGCATTGTTAAAATTTATGATGAAATAAAAAATTTAAGACATATAAAAGAACTGGGTAATAATTATTACATATGGAAAAATTTTATAAATGTATAATAGGAAAAAATCAAAGGAATGAAAAAAAAAGATGGCTGTATTTGATACGTTGTTAAATACGTATTTAAATTATGAAAATATTTGTAAGTTCTTTATTTCGTTCTTTATTTTATTCTTTATTTAATATTTGGTATTCTGTTGTTGATTGGATGTATATACTATTAACTACTTAAAGTTATAATGTATTATGAACTCACTTCCTGTTAGATATATAAATTTCTTGGCATGGAATAACTTCTGTATCATATATAGAAATACAATTACATACAATATCGTATCATTTTAACGATATATATAGAAATGGATAATATAGTATAGCGTTATATGACTCAAATAAGCATTAAAAATGTTATTCAAAAAAAAAGTCCATTTATTGTTATGAACAAATTGGATTTATATATACTGTATATTTATATATTACAAAATTAAAAAAAAATTTAAATTAAAAAAAAATTTAAATTAAAAAAAAATTTAAATTAAAAAAAAAAATTTAAATTAAAAAAAAAATTTAAAAAAAATAAATTAACAAAATAAAAAAATAAATTATTTAAATGTGAATATTTTACCTTTATAAAACTATATCTTAATAAATTAAAAAATGAAATAATACATTTACAAAAGAAAAAAAAAGAGATTTCTGTCAATATGAAGTTACAAATAATATATTCCAAAAAAAAAAATAAAATAAAAATAAAGTTAAATTAAATGTTGATAATAAAGAATATTCACCCTCTTGATGCACCATTCTTATGACAATTACCATTTTTGTGAATGGCATCATCACCATCACTTTCGCTTTTTCTTCTAATACTTCTTCCCAAAAAACTCATTCGCTTAACCATTCCTTTCAATAATTCTCCACTACCACTACCACTATGATGGTGACGATGGTTAGAAGAAGAAGAAGAAGAAGAAGAAGAAATATTATTGTCATCGGAAGAAAGTTGAGAAATAGGTCGGGATCTTCTACGATATAACATTTTAGCCATATCTTTATATCCTAATTCCGTGGCAATTCGTACTGCTATTCTTTCATCACAATTAACATCTGCTCCATGACTTAATAAAAGATAAGTAAGTTCCCAATGATGATTAGTTACACAAAGTGCTAAAGGTCTTCCATTGTCCGCATTAGGATCCGCTCCCGATTTTAAGAATAATTCTATCATGCTTCGTCTGGCATTTTTATTATCATTGTTATTATTACTATTCTTATTATTATTATCTATAATCACATTTTGTAAATAACATTGTATACTAAATTCTAAAAGACTTGTTGACCCATAACTTGTAAGATCAACTGTATGAGCTGATGGTGATATATTAATATTTGCTCCATTTTCAATAATAACTTTGGCTGATATAACGTCCGCTTTTTCTATACATAAACGAAGATATAATGGATTTTGTCTTTGCGCTTCTCCTACCCCACGTTGAAATGCCCAAGCGATGCCTGTTGTAAATATTCTATCTACACTTTCTTCTAAAATATCTAATGTATGTTGAGGATGAACTGCTACCACTGATGCTACATCAAGACGTTCATGAAGAACAATAGCAAATGCTAATTCTGTTTCAGTAAAGAAATCTTTGGAGCATGCAAGTTCATTTTTAAACCATTTTGAATTTTGTACAGCGACCACCAATGGTAATAAATATTCCTTTGTTGATTTATTATCAAGATTTGTACCACCTTCTGTACGCAAGTCATCTTTACTCGTATGATCTTTAATGTATCGTTTAATATTTAATCCTCGATGAATCAAAAATGGAATTAAATTATTCTTTTCCTTATGAAGATATGCTACATCAAGTAATTTCGTAACGCTACCGTCAACCGAAGAAGCCAAAAGTCTATTGCATAACTTTTGTAAATCGATAATTTGAATTAAAATGTTAAATGGAGTTTGAGTTGATACCGCTTTGCAAAGTTCCGCGTAGGTAGGTAAAAATGCATCAGGTAATTTTGGATGAAGCCATAAACGAAGCCAGCGACGTTTAAAACTTGGATATCTTAATACTATTGCACTAAATTTTTTACATACAGGTGCGACAGTATTTGGAAATGGAAGAAATATCAAAATGGATTCTAACACTTCAGGAATAAGATCTTGAAGCGTTAGTGAAGGCTTAGGAGGATGAGAATAAGAACGATTATCGTTATTATCGTTCGTAGATAAATAGTCAAATCTATCAGCAATAATTTGATTTTGCATCTTTGGTTAAAATAATGTATTAATATTGAAAAGTGTGTGTGCGAGAGAAATGAAATAAATAAGTAATAACTCTAATAAATTTGTGCTATAAATGAACTGTAAATGCTCTAAAAATACTAATACTATAAATACTAAAATGTTTAAGTTAATTTAAGATGAAACATGGTATTAAAAATAACCGAACAAATCAGCTTGAATTATTAAAATTAATAAATTTTAGGGTTCAAAAATCTTTTAGATCATTGGCCAAAATTTTCCACAAACGCCGCACCGCATCATTTTTCATTGTTGGAAATTTCTTCTCGTGACCGAAGAAAATAAATTGTTTTGTTAATTTCTATAAATATGACAAAGATTTTCTTTATTCCCTGTTGAAATGGTAACTGACTAGGCTACATTCGATTTCGTTACATAAAATAAGAAATGCACAAGGTCGTACGTTAATTATTTTTACACAATAAAATTCAAACAAACAATGAGATGATCTCTCAAGTAAGTGAATTATTAAAATTTTGTATTTATTATTACTTTGAAATGGGTTTGAGGAATCAGGAATTAGCAAATGTGTAAATGTGTTTGACACAAATTATAAATATATTTTTAGATTACTAGATCAGCTTATTAACAACATTTAGTTTTAACTGTTGTAGTAACTTTTATTATTTCATTATTACTGTATTACAAGCTTAAAGAAAGTAAATATCTGGATTGTAGACATTAATTTTTAAAGAAAGTTTACTTATTGTAAAAAATAATAAATGTTTTTTACGTAAAACATTTGATATTTATGTAATTATCACATGTAAAATGAACCAATAAATGATATATATATTTTTTTTAAATGTCACATAAAGTGAAATAAATGTATTTAGTGGACCCATATGCATATGAAACAATCTTTAATCAAAAAATGAGTTTCATTTTGTTGAATATTGCCATAGCGATCATCAAAGTTTCAAGAAAGTGTAATGTGAGAGATGTGGTTTCTTGCAACGTCTGATGTACATTCAGAATGTCTATCACGACATATAATATATTATTCTTGATAACAAATTTTTTATTTAAATCGCATTCACATATAGACAAATACTATCAAATTCACAGCCAACTCACTCTGCAATAAATGCGCTCTTTAGGATTATGCATTATTTAGAGTGTGTTTTGAGAAGATGTCATATAAGATCATAATTTCAGCGTGATAATTGTGACAATTAGGAGATTTAGCTGTACATTTATTCATTTATTCAGACCCTCAAGGTATTGCATATGCATGCAATAAAGCTTTCATATGATGAACTTATCAAAAAAGATATTTAAGGAATTTTATTAACTATTATTTAAAATATTTCTATTTGATATTTTTTCCTTATTTTAAATTATTACTTTTGACTTTTCGAAAATTGATGACCGTGCGTTCCAAGCAATCACCTTTAAATAACTTTGCAAGACAAACTTTTATGCAAGAATAAAACTTTATATCATAAAATATTCTTTTTAATGCGGTGTTATCTGATAAATATCCATTCATTGAAGAAATTTATATGCAACTAAAATTTAAAAATATTCGAAATTTATAAATTCATTTAATTTGTCTTTTTTCCAAATTGAAGTGATTCAAAAGTAAGAAATATCTAAATATACAAGCATGGATAATTTATTAAATATATTTTCATGCAAATTATTCACCCATTCAAATCATAATTTTGATCTTTCATTAGAATCAAATAATTCTTCTAATAATTTCCACATTGAATTAGAGCAGATACCAGCATTTCCGTTACGCAAACCGTATGGTTTATCAAGATTACCAGGTTTTTGCAACCAGATGAATAATAAAAGTCCGAGACCATTATTTTCTTTTTCAAAAGGTGTATAGAATTTGGTGATTACATATTTTTTTTCAAGATTAGAAACAAAAGAGATCAATAATTGTACTCACGGCTAGGCAATTGTGAACAAAGAATATTTTGTTTGAACTAGTGACGACAAGGAACCTTTTATTTGAACTAGTGACGACAAGGAAGCCTGCATGTTAAATGTTATCACAAATTTGCTAAGTGTTTATATAACCATTTCGTTCAAAAAAATTTTCTTTCTTGTGATGATGTAAATTTAAGGCTATGAATATCTTAGACTCGTAATTATTGGTGCTGGTTTCTATATTTTTAATGATTTTTATTTTTAACGACAAGGAGAACGATAAGGGGAGTAATGATAAAGGAGTATGAATAAGTGGCTTTAGAATTATGTATGTAAAAGTTTTACGTTTAGATATACTCGCAGATCATAATTATTTATGTTTACATTTACAGATTACATACATAATCGGTCGGATTCCATCAAAGAAAATAAAATAGTATTCTTGATTTTTCCGTACAATACGTGCAATAAGACAGTCATTTTAGATGGTAACTAATCAATTCTTCGATAAAACGAGTAAAGAGAACTTTTCATTCTTAAAATATTTTCTTTAAAAGATAATTTCCGTAATTGGAAAATATTCATTTATTAAAAAAATTGATATGCGTTGATGTACGTAATCTATTAATTTTTTTTCCGGATTGAAGTCCTGTTTTCTTTGTTTTCATGATTTCACAAAAAAAAATTGCCATAATAAAACGTAATACAATAGGCATAATAGGTATAATAGATATATTATGTATGTAAATTCTTTAAGTGTCTATTCTAATAAGTTTCATGAGCATAGTTTGACTAGTACTTTTAGATATGAACAAATGAATTTCAGTCGTTAAAGTTCGTGGGGTAAACTCATGATAATATGCATCCGCGTTGTACATTTTTTGCCTTCGATCCTTACATTTGTCGAATATATATATATATATATATTATTTTTTTTTTTGCTTTCGAACAGTAACACAATTCATATTTACTCTTATTTATCTTATTTACTATAAATATGCACATTGATCTGAAAAGAAAAAGAAAATCTTTCAGCGGGCTGATTTTTTCATTTTTATATAATTTAAAAAAAAAAATAATAATAAAATTCTGAATATATTTATAAAAAAAAATAATGCCTACTCATAGTAATGGAACAACTTCGGTAGAAGTAGGTAAGTTAAAGAGAAATTTAATTCACAATTCTTTCTTTCGTTAAAATTGAAATCATTATTTACATTAATCGTTTAATTTTCTAATTTAATTAATTATGTAATTTCCAATAGCATTAAGAATAAAACCTCTTACACCTGAAGATTTAGAAAAATTACCGTCAAGATTTCAACGTCAAATTATATCCACTACACATACATCAGGTCAAGTAGTTGTTGAAACCGAAAAGCGACCAATATTTCAAGTAAGTTAAATTTGAAAAATAAACATTTACAATAACCATTAAACATTTATGTTAAAATCAAAATTTATCATTCTCTAGTTCGATCATGTGTTTGGTCCGGAGGCTACACAAGAGGAGGTTTATGATAAAGCTGTTATAAATTTATTAGAAAAATTTTTGGAGGGTAATTATTATTATTATTTATATATTATTCTAATAACATTAACCTTTTAACATTTCTTCCATTTCTTTTATTATTTTAATCTATGCAGGTTATAATGTAACGATCCTTGCCTATGGTCAAACTTCTTCTGGAAAAACCTATACGATGGGCACAGCTGACAATAAATCTGTGCCAGTCGAGTCAATGGGAATAATTCCTCGTACAATGACAACTCTCTTCGAGATGATTAATTCCATTCAATTTAAATCACATAAAACAGAAGTAAAAATTTCATTTGTTGAAATTTATAATGAAGATTTGATTGATCTTTTTGGTGAAGGTGATATAGAAGAGAGACCACAAATCCAAATTCGAGAAGATGTGAAAGGGAAAATTTATTGGACGGGGCTAAAAGAGATAATGGTCACAAATGTTCATGAAATTATGGAGTAAGTATATTATTATTATTATTATTATTATTATTCCAAAACTAATATTTACAAATGTAAATTAATTTAAAATGCACCGTTTTTTTTTTCCGATAGATACTTGTCACGTGGTTCCTTGAACAGACAAGTTGGGGAGACTGATATGAATGCTAAATCTTCTAGATCTCATGCAATCTTTTCAGTATCTATAACACAAGAAAAATATATTTCTCATAACAATTCAGGTCCGCCATCCACACCACCTGGTTCTAGACCTGGAACACCCGCTACATCTAAATTTTCAAGTCGTCCTTCCTCAAGAGCTAATTCTGCTTTAGGAAAATTTGATGACAATGGTGATTGGTTGAGGACTGTTAGTAAATTTCATTTTGTAGATTTGGCTGGTAGTGAGAGGGTAAGTTCATAAAAAAATTAATTAGTGTATTATATGTGTGTTACTTATTAAATAAATAATTCGAACAAACGTGAATTGATTTCTTTTTTTTAAAAAGTTAAAACGTACTTCCGCAAACGGAGAGCGTGCAAAGGAAGGAATTTCAATAAATTCAGGTCTTCTCGCATTAGCGAACGTAATTTCGGCTCTGGGCGATCCATCTAAAATAAAACATACGACACATATTCCATATAGAGATTCAAAGCTTACTCGTCTTTTACAAGATTCACTTGGTGGAAATGCAACTACATTAATGATTGCATGTGTTTCACCTGCAGAATTTAATCTTAATGAAACAATGAATACACTTAAATATGCAAATAGAGCTCGCAACATAAAGAATATAAGTACAGTGAATCAAGAAGAATATGGTTGGAATGATGTTACACATTTACAAAGTTTGGTGATAAAACTTCGCGCAGAAACAACAGCTCTAAAAACGATTATTTCTCATGGGCAACAACTTCAATCTAGTGATCATGGAAGAGTTACACCAACTTTCTCAACGGGCCTTAAAATTACTGGAACAACAGGGAGAAAGACTCCAACCGGTATTCCAGCAGGGAGAAAGACTCCAACTCCAACTCTAACAGGTATTCCAGGGAGAAAGACTCCAACTCCAACAGGTATTCCGGGGAGAAAGACTCCAACAACTGGCATTCCTGGAAGGATTACACCTACTTCACCTACTTCTGGTAGAATTAAATCTTCCGGAATTCCAAGTGCAGTAAAAAGTTCATCGAGTGTTCCAATGAAAAATACTAATAATGGTAGAGAAACAACTAATCGTATGAGACCTTCTTCACCATTAGCCACATTCAGTCATTTTAGCAATCCAGAATCGCAAAAGGATAGAGATATCGAAATCTTGCAAGAACAACTATTGGAACTTAGTGACTCCTATGTTGAATTATCTCAAAGATATGCTAAGACGTCCGCAGAATTGGCAATGCATCAAGATAATTATGATGGATTAGAGAATAATCCTATTATCGAAGAATATAAGGAGATGGTTTCTTTACTCGAAGATAGATTAAATCTGACTAGTTCAGCTTTGATTCAATCTGAAACTTTGTTAAAAGAAACCGAAGCCCGAGTTGAAGGAGATAAAAGTACTATTTTGAAGCTTCAAGATAATGTTAAAGATCTTGAATTACAACTTAAAAAAGAAGAATTTGTTGCCCGTATTAAAGCCTCTCGTGATAATTTCCCAGAAACATTCATTAGCGAAACCATAAAATTATTGGAAGAACGTTTAAAAGAAAGAGAAGAAGCATATGAGAAATTGGAAGAGAAATATCAAAAAGTCAGCAGCACAGATGACAACAAATCAGAATTATTACAAATAATCGAAGAACGAGATCAGAGAATTTCTCGATTTGAATCTAATATAAATCTTCTAACTGATGAAATCGAAAACTTAAAGAAATTATCAGATTCTAAGTCAAATTCCACGAATTCAGATAATAAGGACATTCAATCTCTTGAAATAGAACTTTCCGAGTTGAAGAAAACGCACAGTGCAACTCTTGATGAATTGCAAGTATATGCTAGCCAAATACAAGAGCATAAATCTCAACAACAACTACAACAACAAGACAATGATAAAGATTCGTCTATTCTAGATTTAAAGGCTAAATTAAAAGAAGTACAAATTGAACATGAAAATACAAAGAAAGAACTTCAAGAAACCAATACTAAATACGAAGAATCTCTTCAACATATTCAGAACCTTGAATTGGGTAATATGGATGATGTAGACTCGGTTTCATCCACACCTTTAACTCCAATGACACCTGGAACTCCACATAACGAACAAAATAAATCTGTGAGTTTTAATCTTATAAATACATTTTCCAAACCTTCTCATAAAAAATCAAAATCGCTTCAAATTTACACTAATGGAGCTGACAAACGTGATATCATACATTCTTCAATTGTTGAAAAATTACAATTTGAACTTCAGCTCTTTGAATCATTCCACAAAGATAAAACGGAAAGTTTAAATAACGTCAAGGATGAATTGGAAAAATTGGAAAAGAATCACCTAGAAACTCTTCAAGTTGTTGATGAACTTCGTGAAGAAATTATAAGACGCGATGCTGCGGTTAGACTTAAAAAGAATAGCAAAAGTGCGTTATTACGTTCATCATCACCCGATTCGTATAATGATGATGGTAAAGTAAATGAAATTAAGGTTTTGAAAGAAGAATTAGAACAACAAAAAGCAATCTGCGTTGAATATGAGAATGTTATCCAACGTCTTGAGAACGAACTAAAGGAAGTAAAAGAAGCACAAGTTGTCGTTAATTCTCGTTCTATTATTGATGATGAAGGTTCTTCCGCTGATAAGCTTGAACAATATGCTGATGAAAATGTCATAGCATTAGAAGATACAGTAAAGAATCTTGAAGCCCAATTAAGCAAAGCCAAAGAAGCCAGAAATTCCCAAGATTTATCAAGTATTTATATTATTGATCATACCCTTAAAACGATGATCACTCTTCGATCTAATCTTTCCGATATACAGCAAGAACTATACGATAATTCTAAAGAATCCAAAATTTTGGAAAACACAAAAGAATTTATATCTATGTTACAAACTCACCTTGAAACAATTCGATTAAATATTCAGACTAAAGATGAATTAATTGAATCCTTAAAAAGAGATTCATCTAATCAAGATGATGAATTAGACGAAAAAACGACAGAAATTGAAAATTTAAGAAAACGCTTGGAAGAAATCAAGAATCAAGAGAATGAAACGAAGAAACAAATTCAATCTCTTCAAGCGTCAGAACAATCTTTAGGAGAAGAAATAATATCTCTTCAAGCATCAGAAGAATCTTTAAGACAAGAAATAATTATTTTAAAAGAGACAGAATCCCAACAAGGAAATATGATTTCAAAATTACAAACTCAATTTCAAGAAACGAAAGATGAAAAAGATTCAATAATTAATCAATGGGAAACTATGAAAGGAAATTACCAAAATCAAACGACGCTTGTTTCAAAACTTGAAGGTGAATTAAATTTGTCCCAAGAAAATTATGCAGAAAATTTAAAAAAGATAGATGAACAAAATGATCATGTAACTGAACTAGAGAGTAAACTTCAAGCTGTTGAAAAAGAAAAAGATGAATTTACGGAACTTAATAAAGAACTTAATAATATCATAACAGAAAAAGAAAAAGCTATTAATGAATTTACCATCACAATAAGTAATTTACAAAAAGACCTTGAAGTGACTAAAAATAACGAAAATATATATCTAGAATCCATTGATAATCTTTGTGAAAAAATGTTTACTGTTGGTTCACAGGTTGATGAATCTATAGCTTCAAGTGATGAATTAAACGATTTAAACATTATTATGAAGGACGTACAAACCGCAAAAACTGCATTATCACAATGTGAATTATTGGTTTCCAAGAAAGGCGAACTAATTACCAAATTAAAATTCGAACTTCAAGATGCGAAAAATTTAGAATTAACACAATCAAAAACCATTAAGGAACTTCAAAATGAATTGGAAGAAATTGAACGAAAACTTCAACAAGAGGCCTCAACTACAGTAGAAGCTGATGTGGCTAATTCCTTGACAATAAAAGGATTACGTTCTAATATTGAAAAATTATCAAATGAATTAGAAGCAGCTAAAGCTCAAGAGTCAACACAATCAATACTGATTCGAGAATTAGAAGACGCATTATCAAAGAAAGAGAACAGTTTAGAAGAATTAAATTCGTCATTTAATGATTTACAAATCGAACTCGAGAAAGCGAAAGAAAAAGAAGGTGAACAAGCAGAGCTTATTCAAAGTTTAGAATCAGAACTTCAAAATACAAAGAATAATCTTAATGATGAAATCTCCAAACTTAAGATCAATAATGAAGAAATTGAGACAATTAATCAGAGATGCGTAAATCTACAAAATGAAGTTGAGAATTCCAAGAATGAAACTATTCAACTTGAGAAAGAAAAGAATGATCAAATTGAGAAAGTACAAACTGAATTAAATTTATTAGCGGATGAATTCACAGAAGTTGCCGCTAAATATGAAGACTCTGAAGAGATTTTAGCAGAAAGAAATAATAGAATTGTAGAATTAGAATCCCTTCTAGAAAAATCAAGACACCAATCAAATGAGTCAAATGAGTTGAATGAATCAAATGCGGTACGACAAGTGAAATTAACAAATGTTGATACTGATCATGAAAATTATGAAGAGCTATTAGAGGAAAAAAATAATAGAATTGTAGAATTAGAATCTCTTCTAGAAAAATCAAGACACCAATTAAATGAATCAAATGAGTCAAATGAATCAAATGATGTACGACAAGTGAAATTAACAAATGTTGATTCTGATCATGAAAATTATGAAGGGCTATTAGAGGAAAGAAATAATAGAATTGTAGAATTAGAATCTCTTCTAGAAAAATCACGACACCAATCGAATGAGTCAATCGAGTTAAATGAGTTAAATGAATCAAATGAGTCAAATGCGATACAACAAATGAAATTAAAAAATGTTGACGCTGAATATGAGAATTATGAAGAGCAATTAAAGGAAAGGAATGATAGAATTACCGAATTAGAATCTCTTCTAGAAAAAACAAGACAACAGTTAAACGAGGAAAAAATAAAATTAACGGATATTTCCGCAAAATATGAAGGTTCTGAAGAGCTTTTAGAGGCAAGAAACAATAAAATTACCAAATTAGAATCCCTTCTGGAAGAGACAAGAAATCAATTAAGTATGGAACAAGAAAATGTAAATAAACTTAAGACAACTGTTGATGAGAAAAAGAAAGAGTACGAAATTACATTAGAGAAGGAAAGAAAAGCCAAGAGAACTTTAGAATCGGTAAATTCTAAACTTGAAGAAAAGCTTCTACTCTCGAAAAAGAGAAAATGGTTTTGTGTTTAAATACATCGGTGACATAAGAACATTATAAGTTATTATTTTTTTTATGTATAATATCTGATATAGACAATAAAATTTAAATTTAGACATAGAATTTTATTTGTATATATATTTTATATTTTTTTTTATATATATTTTATTTATTTATTTATCGTTAGTATTTTTAGATTATATTTCTTATATTTCTGTATGTGATATTTTTCCTTAATAAATAAAAATCCAAATTGTTTACTATTTTATTATTTAATTAACTCCTCGTTTCATATAAAAAAAAAATAAAGTTTAATAATAATGTTGAATTTTCATACAAATAAACTGCATTTATATTTTTATTTCTTTTAACCGAAAAAGGTAGAAATAAAAGAAGACAAAGAAATATGTAATTACTAATGTTTTAATAATCATACGATGCAGAAATTTAGTGTGGGAACGTAGTAGGGAGAACGCGTAGTATGAAGAGTGCGTAGTAGGGAGAGAGATCTTTGTGGTAAAACATTTAATCTATGGTAGTGGTGGTTGTAACTTCCATCCTAGGATAATAGATCAAAGGACATTTATACGTAAAACAGTCAAGTGACACAATTAAAATCGGTACTTTGCGTTCTCCGTGTTCTTTTAACTTTATAAAAAAAAGTCGGATGAGCTGCAGTTTTAGTTTTTCTAATTTAAGAAATAATGTCATATTTATGGCACAGTAATTTTTTTGAAGTCTTAAATCTTTAAATTCCGTATTCTTATTACAACTTTTAATATAAAGTCCTCGTGTAATAGTAATAAGTCTCGTGTAATAATAATAGTGTCGTGTAATAGTAATAGTCTCGTGTAATACTCTCAAAGAATAATGGACAAATTACCAAATAAAGAAACAATAATATTCTTATCGAAATGAAAAATTCCCACATATAGAAACCAAAAACTATGAAACAAAAGCATACAAAGAATTTCGATTTTCAGGGTGGTAAACAATTTGAATGAATGTTTACGTGTTCAGGATTTTTGCATTCTGCGTCATGTATTTTTAAAAACTCCGCAAAAGGATTTGAAAAATTCTAAAAAAATTATAAAAAGAAGCCTCGGATGAATTTTATCTCAATAATAACAAATAACAAAATAACAAAAATTAATTCTATAAAATTTATAAAATTTACAAATTCTTAAACACAAAATAACAAAACACACAACACATTATAAACTATAATAAAATGCTTTGTGAAACAGGAAATCAACATTTACTCGTTCCCGAATTTTCAAATTCGAAAATTTCTAAAAGTCCAAGTCTAAGAAGTTTAAGTCCTTTAGGTCATTATATTCCTCAACGAGAAAATCCTACAAGAAAAGTAGTAGATGATCTACTCGAAATTTTTCTTGATGAAAAATCTAAATGTACACTATATAACGATATTACAGAAATTTTAAGAGATGCGATATATGATAAAAATGATAATGAATATCATATATATCAATGGTTATGGGATAATCAAAATACGCTTAAATATAAAACCCTTTTAGGATTTTTTTTATTAAATGGAATTGGATGTGATATCAATAATAATAAAGCATTCAGCCTTTTTATGAATGCTGCAAAAAAGGATTATTTAGTAGGAAAAGAGATGATAAGTGATTGTTATTTAAATGGGTGGGGAACAACAAAAAATGAAGAATTGGCATTTCAATGGTACAAAAAATGTGCTGATAATGGTAGTACATATGGATATCTTGCGCTTGGATTTTGTTATGAAGATGGTAAAGGAATTAAAAAAAATGAAAAGGAAGCATTTGAATGTTTTCTTACAGCAGCAAAATCAGAAAGTATTTGGGCAATAATTCAATTGGTGAAAAGATATATTCAAGGAAAAGGAACGAACAAGAATATTGAGAAAGCAAATTATTGGTATAAGAAAGCATATGATATTGGAAATGATCAAATTAAAAATATTTTAAATTATTTGTATAATTGTGATTCTATATAATATTTCGATTAATTCCTCATAGATCATCATAGATCATCATCATAGACCATCATAGACTTATAGACTATCATAGATCATCATTCAACATAGAACATAGACATTCGATGAATATTTCAAATTATATTATACATATTTGTGATAAAAATTGTAAACAAATTTTAAATTTCTTATAAATATTATAAAAATGTAAATTATTAGATTTTCTTGTCTTGAATAAAACGTGAGTAACTTTGCTCATTTGATTAAAAAAAAAAAAGTTTTTTTATGAACCAATAGGAATTTTTCTATTTTAAAAAAGATCTCTAGATAAGACTTCTGTGTAATAAAAAACTGTCGTGTCATTTATTATCTGATGATATATATTGCATTCTAACACGTGATAGAAGTTAGTCCTTTTATATCTCTTTATACCTGCAATTGATTATGAAACACGAATAAATGGATAATATGTATCGTGTGAAACTTAACAATTATAAATCATTCAAAATTTTCTTTTTTTTCATTAAATCGAATATAATCAACAAAAAAAAAAAAATTTATAAAAAATAAACATCAAAAATATGCGTAAAAACAAAATATACAACCTTCTTCCATATAGAATTTTAAATTCCGAATATGTTTACCTTAACATAATTATTTTTTTTTTTCAAATCTTTTCATTGATCACAGGCTTAATTTTATGTAATTAATTTAATTTAATCTATTGTTATTTATTTATATTATTATCATCCTAATTTTTTCTTTATAAATATTTTTGTGTGGACTTTAGGGTATAAAGAACTTAAAGCAGGAAATACTGCTAAAGAAAGATGTTACGAAGAATTGGCGAAACAACTTTATACTAGAGAACAAATTATCAAACAATTTGATATTAATGTGAGGTAATAAAAATATTATTGTTTATAATTACTGAACATGTTTTTTGGATTTCTAAAGAGATAGAAAATTATAACAACTTTTTCCCCCTTTTCACCATAAGATCATATATAACAAAAGGTTTTGTATTTATAATTTGGTATTTTTCATTAAAATGTAAGTTAATTTTATTATTGATTATTTGTTAATTATTTTTTAATAATATTAATTATAATTATTCATTTTGTTCAATTTGTTCATTTTATTTAGTTGGTAATTTTTTCTTTATAGGAATATATCCAAAATACAACATGTAAGTTTTTTCTTTTCTTTAGAGAATTAGAGAATATTTATTATATCAAACCAAATATTAAAACATTAAAATATTAAATACACCATTCATTAGAATTTCTTTGATAATGTCAATTCTATATGCATATTTTGAGAAAAATTCTGGTCCATATATGAAATGTTCACTTAATGAGGGAGATTTATGTTATGAAATTGAACATACCAATGATTTTTTATCTGAAGGATGTGAATATCATAATAAAAGTGTTATATTATCGTGGATGGAAGTTGGATTATATGGATTATATGTATTAAGTGTATTATTTTATCCTTTAAAACCTAAATTAATTTGTCTATTAAAATATGTAAAAAACAAATGGAAAAATTTTAAAAAATTAAATTGGAAAAGTAGTAGAGGAAATTATCGGGCAATAATTCGTGATGAAGAGAAAGCTAGTCACAAAATTTAAAAGTAAAAGATTAGTAAATAAATAATTAATTAATTTATAAATTTTAACTTAGAAGAATCATTTTATATATATTATATATATACATTATGCATCATATATAATATTTTATTTAATAAAAAAAAAATAATAATAGAAAAAATATTATTCACAAATAACGTCAAATAATAATTTCTCAAATTTTTTTTTTTTTTTAAAAAAAAATTAAATTAAATATTTTCAAACTTTAATCTTCCATATCTGGTACTTTACTTTTACCTCCATAAAAAGTAGGTAAATTATCCTCATCAATAAAACTAGATAAATGATCTTTCACACCACTACTTGAAGTAACAATGAACTTCTTTTTAGTTTGTTCAGATAAAAAAATGGAAATGAATTTAAAGACATAATCTCCCCACCAAGGAGTATTGATAAAGAATTTTACTGCCTACAAAAAATTAAAAAATTAAAAAATTAAAAAATTAAAAAATTAAAAAATTAAAAAATTAAAAAATTAAAAAATTAAAAAAAAAATAAAATTTAAAAAATAAAATAAAAAAGAAATTATAAGAGAATAATAAATTTAAAAATTTAAATTATTTACCAGAAATTCAGGATAATTATCTTGCAAAATTTGAGTTACATTTTTACTAGCAGTTTTAACAGTTGCATCATAACTTGTAAACGAAACTAATTTATAATCATGAACTTGAATAATTTGATCCAAGTTCACGAAATCCACTAATTGAACTCCTTTCTCCATTAATTGAATTCTCCATCTCAAAAATCGTTCTAAATTTCCAAAAACTTCTTGGTTATCAATTCCACCATAAAGATTATAAGTTACTGGTCGATTCTGTTTATCGGTTTTATGAATAAACCCAACTTTCTTAAATATCGATTCAGGAAAAGTTTCTGTAAGTATTGAATCTGTTTGAAATTTAATTCGCCATTTGAGAGATTTTGTTAACATTTCTTTGGCTTGATTTACATCAAGGTTTCTACATGTAAAAAAATATATTTTACTACTTTTTAATTGAATTGAATTGATTTTTTCTTTTTTTTTTTTTAAAAAAAAAAAAATAATAATTTTAATAAATATAATTTGATATAATCAATTAATATGATTAATGTATTATACCTTGCCCTTAAGAATTTTACAAGAATAACATCAAGTCTTTCGTCTGTTGATTCTTTATTTAAAGAAATACCCCAAAGAACATAATTTTCTGAAACTCCTGATTCTTTTATAATTTCAGGAAGTAATTCTTTAAGTTCTCCAACTGCCTTTCTTTCTTCTGGTAGAAATGCATTTATAAGTGGATTATTAGAGGTGTTTTGTTCAGACATTTATTATTATTATTGTTGTATAATATAAAGTTTTTTTAATCTTCGAACTAAAACTATTTAAACTAGCTCGATGTTTATCTCGTGATTTAATTATTTTAATTTGTGGAATCTTAATTTATAAATAACTAACTTTAACCCCCAAATGAATTATGATTGAAATTAGCCAAAAGCAATTAAAGTTAATCTGATCTCGTTCACTGGCAATCACATGAAGTTTACTGCGAATTTACTACTAAAAATTAAATAATTTTTTCGTCATAACTTATTTTTCTAATTAAGTAATTTCTTAAATTTAAAACATTTCAAATCAGGAGTGATCTTTCCTAACACATGAAAATTGAACCACTTCTTAATTCCACATGTAGATTTTTTATTTTATATTACATATTTATTATTTATTATTATTATTATTATTATTATTATTATTATTATTATCATCATTGTTAATAATTATTTTTATATATACATATTGTTTATTTAATACTATTTATTTTTTTTTTATAAATTTGGGGAAAATATGAAATTGCAAACGATTTTTTGGGGAAGCCAAAAATAATGATCTGCAATATATGGAAATTATACTTTGTATTCCTGTATTTTTGATTATTTTTGTCCCCAAAAAAAGTGGCGGATTTTCCCCAAAAAATATTTTAAAAATATTGTCATCAAATCGTAGTGAAAAAAAATTGTATATATAAAAGCGCTCGCTCAATTTCGAAATACCATTACAAATTGGTCATTTTATTTTGTTCATTTTTGTTGCATTTTTGATACATTTGATATTTTGTTTAATGAAAATAAAAATTTAATAAATAAAATTTATTAGAAAATATAAATATATTTGACATATATTTGATCTATCATCCATTCAAAATTATTATTTTTTTTTTTTTAAAAAAAAAAAATGGCAGTTGCCAATATTACTCAAGATCCAAAAGTTGAGTCTGGAATGACGAAACCATCAACAACAAGAAAAAAACATATTAGAGAAGAACCAATTACATGGGAGAATTGGTATAAGCACATTAATTGGCTGCATACGCCATTGCTTACCTCTTTACCACTTATTTCAATATATGGCTTCTATACTACTGAAATTCAAAGTAAAACTGCAATATGGGCCATCATATATTACTTTATTACTGGTTTAGGAATCACAGCAGGTTTGAATTCATTTGATATTTTAAACGTTATCAAATATTTCGAGGAATATTTTTTTTTTCGTGAATGTTTTCCCCTATTTAATAACCCGTCGATTACGTAATGCGGATTACGTAAAACTCAATTTTTGGCAGTTATAAATAAATTTGGAATATATAATAACAAAAATAAAGTTTATTAAAAACTAATCAATTCTAAAAAATTTTAAAAATATTAAATTTGATTAATAGGTTATCATAGATTATGGTCTCATCGGGCATATAAAGCAGCTCGTGCATTTGAAATATTTCTCATTTTTGCGGCATCTGGAGCGGTAGAAGGTTCAATTCGATGGTGGTGTCGAGATCATCGAGCTCATCATAGGTGGACCGATACTGAATCTGATCCTTATAGTGCACATAAAGGACTTTTTTATTCTCATATAGGATGGATGTTATTAAAACAAAATCCCAATCGTATAGGAAAATCCGATATTTCAGATCTTGATGCTGATCCATTAAAAAGATTACAACATAGACATTATGGTATTTTCGCGATTGGTATGGGATTTGTTTTTCCATCTTTAATAGCTGGTCTTGGATGGGGTGACTGGAGGGTAAGAAGAAGAATATACTTATATATATACTTATATATATATTTTGCATTTTTCGTGATATAGTGATTAATTAAATTAATTTAAAAAATTTTTTTAATTATTTAATTAATATAGGGAGGATTCTTTTTTGCTGGAGTTACTCGCTTAATTTTCGTTCATCACGCAACATTTTGTGTCAATTCATTAGCTCATTATTTAGGAGATACGCCATTTGATGACCGTCATACTCCTCGAGATCATTTTGTTACAGCTATTTTAAGTTTAGGTGAAGGATATCATAATTTTCATCATGAATTTCCTATGGATTATCGAAATGCTATAAAACATTATCAATACGATCCAACCAAATGGTTAATTAAAGTCCTTTCATATTTCGGAATTACATATGGCTTAAAGAAATTTCCAGAAAATGAAATTAAAAAAGGAATAATAATGATGAAAGAGAAGAAATTGAATGATGAGAGAAGTAAATTGGATTGGGGTAAACCTATAGATCAATTACCAGTTTTCACATTTGAAGAATGTAAGTAAACCAATTTTTATTTTCATTTTCTATAATTATATATATATATATTTTTTTATACAATTTTATAAATTTATATGTATATATTTATATTTAAATAGTTGAAGAAAATGCCAAAGAAAATAATTGGATTTGTATCGAAGGAATTATTCACGACGTTACAAATTTCATGGACGAACATCCAGGAGGTAAATCATTATTGATCACCTCGATAGGAAAAGATATGTCCTCAGCTTTTAATGGAGGAGTTTATGATCATTCTAATGCTGCAAGAAATTTAATGAGTTCTATTCGTGTTGGTGTTATATCAGGTGGGGTTGAAATAATGAATCGTAAAACAAATGATATTAATAAAATATTAGAAAATGAAAATTAAAAAAAAAAAAATTACGATAATAATAATAGTAGTAGTGTAAATGTAACATATCAAACAAACATTTTCTTTTCGTTTAGTATTTGTCATCGTGCACGTGAATAAAATTCTTGTGATTTAAAAAAAAAAATTTATTTAACCAATGAAAATTAAATATAGAATTTCTTTGTCTGTCCCATATTACAAAAATTTTTTATTTATTTATGTATACATTTCAACTGCAAAAAAAAATTTTTTTTCTTTGGTTGATGTAATGTAAACCGTAAATATTGTTTGTTTTTTTTTTTTTTTTGAAAAAAGGAAGATAAAAATGATGATAAATCATCATATGATTTTAAAAAATAAAGAAAATCACTTTTAAATATGAATAAAGTTATACACACTGAAAATACTGAATATCACGATGCTGATTATTCTACTTTTCTTAAAACATGATACAGATTGATTCTCACATTTTTTTCTTGTTGATTGTTTTGATAGGTGATAATGATGATTATCTTAAACTCTTTACATTCTTTATTGAAATAATTTATGGTGAGGAATTTATTTTTCATTTATATTTTTCATTTATTGATAAACGTTCAAAGATGAAAATATTTTACATTCTGAGTAAATATTTTGAAATATTTAAAACATGCTGTTAAAAAAAATCAAGACAAGCATATGTCTGAGACAAATTCATTTTAATTTTATTCAATATTCATTTTCTGTAATTAAATTAATAACTAACGATTTTTATTATTATTATTATTTATAGATAAAATTTTTATTAATAATATAAAATAATAAATACATAAATGAATAAATAAATAAATAAATAATTTACTAAAAATATTTTATTATCTAATTATCGATTATTGATTATTTACACTTGTTCGGTTGTAGTTTGAGGAGTATCCTGTGTATTCTGTTTGAGGAGTAATTCAGTTTGTTCTGCATAAGCGGATACAACTTGAGCGAAATATATCTGTAAAAAAAAGTTGTAAATTTATTAGATTATTATAAAAAAATATAATAATAAAATAATATTAATAAAAACAATAATTTATACATACATTAAATCCAAAATTGATAACAAGAACAATTATGAAATAAATCAGAATTGAGTTAGTACAATCATAATCAGGATTCTCTTTACAGTATTTTTTTCTTCGGTCCATTATAATAATAATAGACACTATATACATTGCTACAGAGATAAAGGCATATGCGTATAAAATTAATGCGTAACGTTTAATTAGGTCTACTCGTCTCTATATATTTTTTGAGCAAATGATTAATTTATATATTAATATAATTAGTGAACATTATTTTTAAATGTTTACCATTTTTACAAAAATTTACGTACTTCTTGTATAGATACGAAAAATCCAAATAAGAAACCGACAAAAAGCAGAAAATATACAATCAACGATACTATCGTGTATGCCTTACTAAAGGTATAAACTACAAAAAAAAAAAATAAGTTAAATAATAAATTTAAAAAATAAAAATAAAAATTTGAACTAAATTTTAAAATACTTACTTGCATTTCGAGGATAATTATAAATCTTTTGAGGATCACATAATGTTGCGATTGTTGCGAATATAACGACAGCAGCAGAATACTTTTAAAGATAGATTTAACCAATTTAATCAAAGAAATTTATAAATGAATGAAAAGTCAATTTATAAAATATTTCATACCAACTCAATTACAGAAATGATTAGTACTCCAAGTTTTAAATTTATACAGAGACAACACTTTTTCATCTTTGGCATTATTTATGCGAATTTCGATGATGTACTCAATTAATTTTTCTTTCAACCAAGGTTTATTTATTATTTTTATTTTTTACGCCTTCGGAATTGATTTCAAAAATAAAAGTCGTACAGAAGCGATTAAATAATTCCTAAAAGAAAAAAATAAAAAAGAAAAGAAATTTTTATCTCCCGAGTCACATGATGCTGACGTTTAAAGCAATATATATACTAATATAATTATGATTGGGGACTTTTTGATAATTTTCAGTTGCCCGGTGACTTATGATATCCTAAATACTATCTCCAAAATCCGAGAAAATTACCTTTTGTATCATTGAAATAGCATAAAAAGACTTTACAATAGATTTTTTAGTTAATTGATAACAGAAAACAGAATTTTATTGTAATTATACAATTGTATAATTACGTCTTTTGTCCGGAGCGTAGCGTAGGGCATTATTAATGTTTGAAAATTGATCGTACGTGAACACACGTGAGGATAAAGTTTTCATCAACCAATAAACAAATTAATTTTTATTCGTTTTCATTTTATTGTGCTCTAGACTCCCATTTCCTAGTTATAATATCTATTCGTTAATTCCTTTCTTTCTTCTATATAATAATTATTAATGCCCTTGCCATTGAGTATATAATAAATATTATTATTGAATGAATAACATACAAAAAGTCACCAGGAAACTATAAATTAATAAATTTAAAATGCTAACTGTGACGCGACGAGTGATCAAAATTGCACAAACTTTTTTTTGTTATATCTTCTAAACTAGGGATATATTTTCTGTTATCAAAATTACTCTTCAAATAAATTTGACCAAAAATAATAAATTTAATCTTTGATCGTTACTCCTATCGAATTCGATAGATATTAAATAACTATTTTACATGAAATTGTAATATCTACAACTTTAATCAAGCAAATGATCTTAGAAATTTGAGCGGGTAAATAAATTTCTAAGCCATATGCTGATCTTTTATCACATAAAGCATTGAAATTGCAATTTTATTGGTCCTGAATGTACATGTGATATGGGGATTATGCAAGAAATTTTTTTTTTTTTTTTGCATCAATAAAATCGTGAACGATAGGAAAATAATTTTATTTATTTTTTTTTTTATTTTTAATAAATTTCGGCTGTTTTTATTCACGACTAAGTGATATCAAAAGTTTACAGATACTAATGAAAAGCAGTTCTAATTAAAGTTGTAGATATTGTTTCTGGCTACAATTTCATATAAGATAGTTGATATCTGTCTTTAATATCCATTGAATCCAATAGGAGTAACGATCAAAAGTTAAATTTACCAATTTATATAGATATTCAATTTATTAACACTAAATTTAAATGCTAATTATGACACAACTAGTGATCCTTCTATCAAATAATATATTTGTGATTTTTTATTAATTTATAGTTGCCCGGCTGACTTTGATGTACCCCTTGCCGTCTATCATAAAATAATCGAAATCACCTTCGAATAATCAATATTTACCGCCATTTCATGGAAGGTAAAGAATCGAGTCTTTTAAGGTTTAGCAAAGATTTTGAAATCTATAAATCTACATAGTAAGGACATAAAGGTCTATAGAAATTTCTAATTTTATAATTTGTAGGATTGGAATCGGTAAATCAGTATTAAATTGTCCAGTTACTCTAACACGTTTATTAGGTAAAAGAGCGAAAGTTACACGTCTTTTAAAATCGCCAAAGCAACAAATGTTCACGTTTATGATGACATTGATGATAAAAAAGAATTTTAAATTATTATCAGAAACGGAGGGGAATAATAAAGTGCTATAAGCGAATATATTTGATGTCACAATTTTAAAGGCCTTTTTTTTTGATTCTTTTTTTAATTTCTTTCGTGAACGAATATATGTAATAGAACGTAATATAAATAATAAATATATGTGCTATTTAACCACAAGGTAATACAATGCGTGTTTATATTTTGTGCCATATTCCCACCCTCTTTCACTTGATTGTTCGCCCGAAGTAAAGCTTGAAAATGTCGTCGCCTACAAAACAAAGCCAACGCGAAGTTATTTTGTATCCGTGGAACGTTCCGCCAAAGAAATACACATCAGAACAAACATCACACTCAGGACAGTGTATAACAATATTAAAAAAATCGAAAAAACTGGGAGTGTAGACCATGCAGGAGGCAACGGTCGGTCAAAAAAACTACTGAAAATGTTGGCCGAGCTATTGGTCAGTATATTCGTCATAACCCTTTTCAACAAGAGCTATAGCAACGAAATTGGCAGGAATGGAGATCAATATCACTCATGTCACTATTTCGAAGTACCTGGCTGGTGCTGGTTACGAAAATAACCTCCCCCTAAAGACACCTATGCTAACGGACAAGCATAAGCAAGCACGCATGGAATGGGCAAGAAATACCTCAATAATGATTGGGAAAAGACTTTTTTTTTCAGATGAGACGGCCTTTCAGGTTTTTCGGAATACGATTAAATATTGGCATAAGGGCTCACGACCGGTTCGTCGCATACCTAAAGACCGTACGAAAATTAAAGCAAGGGGCGGATTCTGTGCAACGGGTAAATCAAGCTTGTATTGTTTTACGGAAATAATGAATGCAGAATTTTATGTTGGTATTCTTTGTGAACACATTCCGGAAGTAAAGGCAATGCTTGGTGACGAATTTCAGTGGCAACAAGATAACGACCCGAAGCATACGAAAATGTCCCTGTGGTTATGACTTAAATCCGATCGAAAATCTATGGGCTATTGTTAAACGAAACGTGGAAAAACGCATGCCAAAAAATCTTGGCGAATTGGAACGGTATATGATCGAGGAATGGAACAAAATTCCCGAATCAATGTTAAAATCTTTGGTAAATTCAATGAAGAGGCGATGTGAGGGGTGCTAGAAAAAAACGGCGAAACTATTTCATATTAAATTTTTTTTAATAAAGATATATAATGCATTGCTACTTCCAATCTTACTCAAGAAGTTAGGGGTGAGCAATGAGAAAAATATAATATAATTGATGTATATCTGATATATCATCATATATTCAAAACGACTAATGCTGAAAGAACTCTTGTTGACTTCATGAGAAAATTGACGCGTTGGTTGAGAAATATAAACATGGAGAATCATTTGTTAGGTACAGTCGCTATATTTTCATTTTTTCACCCATTTATTTTTTATGACTGTATGAATGTAATATGATGACTTGTATGGTTAAAAATGACATCCAAAACTGGTATTTCAACAGGATAATTGTCAAATCCTTACTGCAAAAAAAAAAAGACCGTAAAATGAGTTGAGACCAAAAAAACTTTTTTCTAAAACTATAGATGAACTCAAGACTGCTTTGAATGAGGAGTGGTCAAAATTTGATGATCAATTCTTAGGAAGGTTGTAGATTCAATGCCACGAAGAATTGAAATAGCATTGGATGCAAAGAGAGGGCCAACTAAGTTATTAGTTAATTATAAAAAAAAAATTTATGTACATAATATAGAAATAGAATAAATCGAAATTTTTACTTTAATAAAAAATCGGGCGTTACTTTCCGACGCGACTGTACATATGTATATATATGTATATGTACTAAATATATACAGTATATATATATAATTTGATTTTTTTGCAGACCATCCTGAAGCAATCAACACAAAGGGAGTGTGATGAATTAACATATAATGTCGCCGGTCTCGTTTCTGATGAGATTGTGTAGAATTTAATATCATTGACAATTGACAACGTGGTTTATTAGTATATAAAATCATTTATAATATTATGTGCGTCTTCATTATTGTATATTCTAATTTTTGACTCTAAAACTTTATTGTGTGTTTAATCATTCGATAATTTTGTTGGAATTTTGTTGATTTTGGTTAATACTTGTAATATTTCATTTAGATGAGATCAATGTAGCAAATAAGTGCGGGGTCATTCATTTCATTATTGTAAATATCCAAATTTACATTACTACCTAAAACTTGGAAGGTTGATACTTGCATGTATTATGCATATATCTTTTTTGATCGGTTATAAGAAATATTGTGTTTATTTTTTCGTACGCTTCGGATTTCTATAAATTAAATTACTTTAACTTTAAGACAATTCTCCCTTCACGATAAGTTTGGTACATTTTGCATATATGTGCATTTCTAAATTCTTGACCTATCCGTTCTTTATAATACTCTAATATCAAATAAATTATATATTCACACATACAGTGTGTTAAGAAAAGAATGGCAATTGAAAATTACGCAGTAATGATCAAACAGTTGCACAAAGCCACACGAGATTTACGCAGCTTTCATGTGATTACCGAATGATTACAGGTGATAAAAAAAAAAATTCAAAAAATTGATACTCACAATCTCAGGGTGAGAAATAGGTTTTCTTTTAAATATATATTATTATTTATTATTATAAAATATTTATATAAAATATATGAAAATATTTAATTGATGAAAAAATGTTTATTTAGAATGATAAAGAATTTAATTAAAATTATCCGATTATTGATTATTGATTATTTACACTTGATCAGTTGTATTTTGAGGAGTATTCTGTTTGAGAAGTAATTCGGTTTGTTCTGCATAAGCGGATACAACTCGAGCAAAATATACCTGTAAAGAAAGGTGTAAATTTATTAGATTATTATAAAAACATAATAATATAATAATAAAAATAATAAAAATAATAATTTATACATACATTAAAAAGAATATGGATAATAATAATAATTATAGGAACGATCAGAACTAAGTCAGTGCAATCATATTCAGGATGCTTTTTACAATATTTTTTTCTTTGGTTCATTGTAATAATAATAGACGCTATATACATTGCTACAGAGACAAAGATATATGCGTATATAATTAATGCGTAACGTTTAATTAGGTCTACTCGTCTCTATATATTTTTTAAGCAAATGATTAATTTAGATAATTAATATAATTAGTGAACATTATTTTTGATATTTACAAAAATTTACGTACTTCTTGTATAGATACGAAAAGTCCAAAGAAGAAACCAACAAACAACGGAAAATATACAATCAATGATACTATCGAGAATTCCTTATTAAAGGTATAAACTGCAAAAAAAAAAAATATAAGTTAAATAATAAATTTAAAAATAAAAATAAATTTAAACTAAATTTTAAAATACGTACCTGAATCAGATCTTTGAGGATGATTACATAATGCTACGATTGTTGCGAATATAGCTAAAGCAATAACTAACTTTTAAAGATTCAGATTTAACCAATTTAATCAAAGAAATTTATAAATGAATGAAAGTCAATTTATAAAAATATTTCATACCAACTCAATTACAGAAATGATTAGTACTCCAGGTTTTAAATTTAAACAGCAACAACACTTTTTCATCTTTGGCATTATTTATGCGAATTTCGATGATTAAAAAAAAAATACTCAATTAATTTTTCTTTCAACCAAGGTTTATTTATTATTTTTATTTTTTACGCCCTCGGAATTGATTTCAAAAATCAAGTCGTACAGAAGCAATTAAATAATTCCTAAAACGAAAAAACAAAGAAATTTTTATCTCACATGATGCTGACGTTTAGTATATTACTAATATAATTATGATCGCAAAGTGGTGGGACTTCAGTTGACTTAATTGTACATAAATACTATCTCCAAAATCCGAGAAAATTCCCTTTTGTATCATTGAAATCGCATAAAAGAGTCTTTTTTTACAATAGATTTCGGTAACAAAAAAAACAGAATTAATCAATTGAATAATTATGATCTTGTGGTTACACCTAGTACAATAAATATTCATCAGTAAATTTTATTAGGCGAAAATTTGCGCAAATTTTCAACACTTGCGCAAATTTGTGCAGATTTTTGTCTATTTTTTTCCGTTTTTTTAACTTCGCTCGCGATTTGCGAGGTACAGAGCGATTTTCTACTAATATATTTCTAAGATAGAAAGAAAGGCCTGGTTCTTGGCTACAAAATGATATGTGCTTCATTTCTGTAGTATCAATATTCGTGGAGTTTTGCGTGTTTAAAATTGGACGTCCGTGAAAAAATCGTGCGGAAATTTGTAATTTTTCGTCTTGCAAATTTTCGCGAAAATAAGTGTAAAATCAGTGTCGATCATTTTTAAAAAATTAAAAAAATCCGATAATAATTACCAATCGTAATTATATATAAAACTTCTTTATCTATTGATATAATAATAAAGGCGGTGTTAAGTAAACTTAAAGTTTAATATATAAAGCATCTACTATAAAAGTTTCATATTTTTAAATTGAGAATTGAATTTAATATTAACGGTTGAATATCTGACATTTTAAAATTATTCTCTGAAATTTAATCATTTATTATTCACTCAATTGTCAATAAATAGGGTTGAAATTTTTATAAAAGGTACTAATTTTATTAGGCTTTAAAGTTATTTAGTACTATATTTATTGTTTTATTAATAAATAAAAAAGTTATAGGCGTATGAACGATCGATAATTATTTTCAGTTTTTTTTTTTATTTCAATCTTTATTTTTATTAAATTTCGGCCATTTTTATTCACGTCTAAGTAAAGTCCAAATTTTACTAGATACTATAAAAAGTACTTCTAATTAAAGTTGCAGATATTATTTTTGGCTACAATTCCATATAAGATACTTGGCATTTATCTTTAATATCCATTGAAATCAGTATGGTAACGATCAAAGATTAAAATTATTATTCTTTGTCACTTTTATTTGAAGTGTAATTACTCCATTTCCATTCAATTTTGACACAAAATACATCATAAAAACGTTCATTATAGTTTCGTCACGTAATTATGATAGCCCTAGTTTAGGGGAATCTAATAAAAAAAAGTTGCACAATTTAGTTTATTCGTTGTCATAATTGACTTTTGAATAATGCTAATCAATTTTTTAAAAAGCTTCTGGTCCAATACTTTTGATAGGTGAGTGTACATCCGTTAGAATTTCTAAAAGAGTGAAGTTCTTCTAGTGTTTTGGCACTTACATATATAACGGCACGCTCTATCATATCTTTTAATTCATGTTTGGAGAACCAAAGTTCGTCTTTTATTATTTGATAGATAGCAAATCCTGTGGTAACAATTTCTTCATCAAAAATCACAAAGTTTAGTGTATATATCAAACGACATTTTGTAATAAATTGAAACAGAAAAAAAGTATCAGTAAGAATAAAAACCACTAAAAGTAACATGTAACAATAACGTCCTTTAAAACCGTTTTTGCATTTTCTGTTTCTGGCATTTCGAAGTCTGAAATAATAGATTCTGGAAAATAGTGAAACACAATGATATGAATAATGCGTATAGAAAATTTTTCACAAAGATACACCGATCACTTACCAAACTACGAAATTTATCAAATAAAAAAATTTTAACTGTTAATATGTACAAGTGAATGGGTAAATCCCAAAGTCTCTGACTCATAATTCTTTATTAATGTGATTTATGTCCCAAAAAAATACGTGAAACAGAAATGATATCTATTTTTTCTAAAATATCTTTCATGATTTTTTATAAAAAATTCCAATCATTTTATATACAGTATACATTGTATTAATTACATAAAGAGTATGCATTAGTCAACAGTGTCCCCGGTTTTTGACATCTTTATACCAGCTAGTATTATGAAGCCTTGCACTTCCAATTCGATGATTTGGAAGAAAGCATCAAGTTCTAATCCATCCATAAAAGATGGCCGTTAAGTAGTATCTGGGTTATTTCATATTTAAATATTTTTCACGATTCAAGTTTAAATAAATAGATTTATTATTATTCATCTGGTTTTCCACCAGTACCGCCAGCTTCATCATAAACGAGACTGGCAACACTATATGGTAATTCATCACACTCCCTTGGTGTGGCTTGCTTCGGCGTAAACATGAACTACATCTTCAGGCAGTGTTTGCAAATGACCTTTGAAATGCCTTATCACATGATTATTTTATAATATACCAAATGACCTTGAAATTTCCCAACACAGTCTTCATAAAAAATTAAATTATATGTATATATGTATAGTTATTACATATGTACCTAACAAATGATCTTCCATCTTTATGTTTCTCAACCAACGCGTCAATTTTCCCATGAAGTTCTTTCAGCATTAGCTGTTTTGGATATAGACGATTAGTAATCTATACATCAATTATATACATATATTAGGGATGCAGAACTTATGAATCACGTTTTCATCTTAATTATCACGTCATCACGTCACAATGTAGTAAGACATGACCATAGTAGTAAGACGTGATTATAGTAGTAAGGCGTGACTGTAGTAGTAAGACGTGATTGTGGTGACTATAGAGTATGCACAAAAATTCCCTTTTTTTTTATTCGGGCGCGATTCAAGCAATTTTCTACGAAGATATTTCTATGACAGATCCAAAGCCTGGTTCTTGGCTACAAGATGATATATGTTTCATTTTGTAGCATTGATATTCGCGAAGATATTTTCGTTTAAAATCGAAGGTCAGTGAAAAATTTCTGCCATAAATTTCCCAGAATTACGGAACATTTATGGCAGAAATTTTTCCTTTAAACACGAATATCTTCGCTACAAAATGAAACACATATCATCTTGTAGCCAAGAACCAGAGCTTTCTATCTGTCAGAAAAATCTTAGTAGAAAATCGCGGCTGAAGTCAAAAAAATAGATTTTATATGTGTAAATTCCGTAATAATATAATAATAATATAATATAATAATAAGTGTAATAATTAAATAATAATCATAACCATCTATTTATTTTAAATTCTTTAAATTTTAATTATATTGATTATACCATATACTATATAAAACATTCATCTATAATTAAAATACACTACTATGATCACTATAGTTACGACACACGACTACAGTCACGTCTTACTACTACAGTCACGACTTACGACAAATTTAAATAAAATAAAAACGATGTGTCATACTACGTCTATGCCGTGACTTGAAAGGGTGTCATGACCTCGCCATAAGTTTGCATCCCTAATATATGTTCACCAAGTAAGATTGCTTTCATGTGATTACCAAATGATTTATCCAAAAAAATTTGATATCCGAGTGATAAAAAGATTTTCTTTTAAATATTTATTATTTTATTATTTATTATTATATGAAATATATGAAAATATTTAATTGTGAAAAAAAGTTTATTTAAAATAAATAAAGAATTAATTTAAAATTATCTGATTATTGATTATTAATTATTTACACTTGAACAACTATAGTTCGAGGAGTATTATGATGGAGAAGGAATTCGGTTTGTTCTGCGTAAGCGGATACAACTCGAGCGAAATATATCTAAAAAATGGTATAAATTTATTAGGTTATTATTATAATATAATAATAAAAATAATAAAAAATAAAAAAAAATAATTTTATACATACATTAATAATAATATTGACTATAATACTAATTATAGGACCGATCAAAATTAAGTTAGTGCAATCATATTCATATGACCTCGAATAATACTTTTTGCAGAATTCGACTTTGTTATTCATTAAAATAAAAATTGTCCCTAAATTCATTGCTGCAGAGATAAAGACATAGGCATATAAGATTAATGCATAACGTTCAATTAGGTCTACTCGTCTCTATATATTTTTGAGCAAATAATAATTAGTGAACATTATTATTTTAAGATTTACAAAAATTTACAAAAATTTACGTACTTCTTGTATGGTTACGTAAAGTCCAAATGAGAAAGCAAAAAACAGCAGAGAATATACAACCAAAGATGCTATCGTGAATGCCTCACTAAAGCCATAAGCTAAAAAATAAAATAAAATAAATCAAGATTTGTTAAAATAAATTTAAAATATAAATAAATTTATTAAATTAAAATTTAAAATACGTACCTGAATATGCATAATACGAATTATATCTTTGAGGATTACATAATGTTGAGATTGTTGCGAATATAACGGAAGCAGCATTAAACTTTTAAAGATTTAGATTTAACCAATTTAATTAAAGAAACTTAAAAATGAATGAAAAGTCAATTTATAAAAATATTTCATACCAACGATAGAAAAGAAATGATTAGTGCTCCAGCTTTTAAATTTATACAAAAACAACACTTTTTCACCGTATGCATTATTTTATATTATTTATGCGAATTTCGATGAGGTGAAAAATAAAATAATAAAATAATAAAATAAAATTAATTTTTCTTTCAATCAAGGTTATTTATTTATTTATTTATTTATTTATTTATTTCACAAAAATATTTGAATAAAGAGAAAACAGTCGTACACAATGAAGTGTAAGGAGTAACTACAGAATGTAACTGAAGCAATTCACTTTGATTCCCAAAACAGAAAAGAAAAATAAAAGAGAAATTTTTTCGAATCCAAAATTTCTTACATAATTACATTATATATGAATTTATAACAAAGCAAAAAATTGTAGTAAAAAATTATTTTTAATAATAATAATAATAATTCAATCTTTTATATTATTTAATAAAACGATAAATAATATTTACTGCTGTATTCTATAATAATTATTTTTTTCTTTATATTATCATTTCATTGAATAATACTAATATTACCATAAATAAACATGAAAAAAAAATATCTTTGCCCCACCAAAATTATTATTATTGTATACCTTGGATAGGGGCATATCCAATAATATTATTCTTAAGTTGTACTTGTACGAACATACCAAGAATTCCGTCTACTGAAAAATTACAGAAATCACCTTCGAATCCCGAACTTCCACCAACATTTACCACCATTTTCATGGGAGGTAATAAATCAAGTCTTCTAATATAAGCAGGACATAAAGGTCTATAGACAATTCTAATTTTATAATTTGTAGGATTGGGATCGGTAAATCCAGTATTACATTGTCCAGTTACTCTAACGCATTTATTAGGTAGACGAGTGAAAGTTACACGACCTGTGACTTGATCTTTAAAATCACCAAAAGCAACAAATGTTTCACGTTTATCAATTGATGATGGTGATGATAAAAAAGAATCTAAATTATTATCAGGAACGGGTGAAGAATTAATGAAAAGAGGTGACATGAGAAGGAATAATAAAGTGGTATAAGTGAATATATTTGATATCATAATTTTAAAGGCCATTTTTCTTTTGACTCTTTTTTTAATTTCTTTTGTAAACGAATATTTGTAATAGAATAGAATATAAAATAATCAATATATATGTGAATATATATGTGTGAATATATAATTTATTTGATATTATAGTATTATAAAGACAAGAATTTATAGAAATTAGAATTTCATATATATATGCAAAATGTACCAAACTTATCAAATCTATCGTGAAGAAGAAAAAGGAGAATTGACTTGAGGTAAAAAGTAAAGTAATTAAATTTATAGAAATCCGAAACATACGAAAAAAAAAAAACACAAATAAATTTCTGGCCGATCAAATGTAGGAACCAACCTCCAAGTTTTAAAAGTTTTAGCATTCTGATTTTTCTAATTAAAAATTATATATATAAATTTAGAGATTTCCAATAATGATATGACCCCTACAAGTTTACTGCAAGTATTAACCAGAATTAACAAAATTCTAACCAAAATTGCCGAATGATTGAACACACGCCAAAATTAGAATATGCAATATATAAACCACGCTACCAATGATCATCTATAATTTCATATTTCATTTATTCCATATATAGTATTAAAATTATTACTTCGGAACAAAATAAAATTTTAATATAGTTTAAATTAATAAAGTTTCATATATCATTGAAAAACCTGATACCTTTAAAAACGTTATTAAAATATTAATATTGATATTAATAATTAAATATTATTAAAGTAAAGTAATGAATTGATAACATAATTAAAATATCTCGTTAATTTAAAATTAATCTAAAGTTTTTAGATTTTAAACGAATATATCCAACAGAGAATACAAAAGAATTACATTTTTTTCATTGATTAGATAATAGATAATAGATGTTAAATATTTAATTTATTTAAAATGGTTATTTCATATTTAAATATTTATCATGATTCAAGTTTATTACAATTTAAAATAAATAAATAAATAATTGAATAATTAATTATTAATAAATAATTATTAATAAATAATTATTATATTTTATATAAATTATTAATTAATAAATAAATTTATTATTATTTCACAAAAATTCATCAGGTCTTCCACCAGTACCGCCAGCTTCATCATAAACGAGACCGGAAACGCTATATGCTAATTCATCACACTCATTTTGTGTGGCTGCTTCGGCATAAACACGAACTACATCTTCAGTACCGGAAGGTCTATAAAAAAAAATTAAATTATTTTTTTATTGTAAATACATATAAATAAATATAAATAAATAATAAATATATATATTTATTTATTACATACCTAACAAATGATCTTCCATCTTTATATTTCCCAACCAATGCGTCAATTTTCCCTTGAAGTCCAGCCGGTTCAACAAGAGTTCTTTCGGCATTAGTCGTTTTGAATATATGACGATCAGTAACCTAATAATTAAATATATCAATTCAATTATATATATCAATAATTCATATAAGCGTTATACATTCAATAATATATTCAAATAATATATACTCACGATAACTTTAACTAAACGATTAGGTAAATCTTTATATGCTTCATTGCATTGTTTTAAAGTCCATTGCCTATTGGCTAGAATTGCTTCAACAAGCAATAAATCAGATAACGCGTCTCCTACAGTTTGATTAATCAATTCCGTTAACGCACGTAATCTTTCGATGGCGTCTTCTTGTTCTACGGTTTCACTAAATAAATAAATAATATATGTTAATATATGTTATATATGTGTGTCATAATATATATGTTATATATTCGTGTCAATTACCCTTTTGAAGAACGAATAATTTTCATTGCAGTTGGACTAAATAAAATAGTTCCATGTCCATTGGCTTCAAAATAAATACCAATATCAAATTTTTCAGCTTCATGATGAAGATGTTTCACACCAGTGGGAACACATGATACAGGAACTTTCTATAAAATAATAGTTAAAAATAACAATGAAATAAATAAGATTTTAATAATAATAATTTACAGAAAAAGAAAGAATATAATATAATATTATATTATATTATATTATTTATTTACCATAACTTTTTCCAGATAATGAGTAGAACTTCCATTGGCATACGCAGTTTGAACAACTCCTACATTTATACCTTCAAGTCCTGCTGCCTTAACAAGATCAATAATAAAACTTCCAGCTAATGAACTAATTTTATCACCATCAAATAATCTAAATGTTCCATCTACAGAATATTAATAATTAATATAATAATTAATTATAATTAATTTAAATTAAATTAATTATTGACAAATAATAACTCAATAATAAAATAATATCATAATTATAAAATAATATCATAATTATAAATTAAATATAATATTTAAACATTTACCATCATCAATGAAATAATAAACAATACGATCAGCATCACCATCAAATGAAGCTGCTCGTTCTCCAGCTTTGATATTTATTCCAATTGGTAATCTTTGATTGGATTTAACATAATCTGCTCCACACTATATAAATTTATTTATGGAAATTTATATAATAATTTATATGAAATTTAGTGTAAATATTAAATATAATTTTAAACATAAAATAAATTATTTTTTTTATTTTTATTTACCAAATGATTTAATTTTCCTTGGGTTTTTATGTCATCATTAAGTACTATGACATCTAGAATATCTTTATCAATATAATTTGAGAGTTCTTTAAGTTTAATTGCACCTACACCATTAGCTGAATCCACATATAATAAAGAAGGACGTGATTTTCCTTCCTATATTTATTATACATTATAATAATAATAATAATAATAATAACAATAAACAATATAATTATTATTATATAAACAAAACAAACACGAAAAAAAATATGTATTTCCAAAAATATTTATTTACCATAATTCGTCGGTAAGCATTTGCTAATTTCTTATAATAACCTGCTTCAGTAGGTTCTCCATAACTTTTCTCAGTTCCTTGTGTATTTAAACAACATGTAACATAATGAAGTTGTGGTGTGGTCTTAATACCGAAATCATTAATTTCTGCACCAATAGATCTTAATCCATCTTCAAGTGCCATTACTAATGCCGGTCCACTTGGTCTATAAAATATATAAAATAATGAATATATGTAATGAATATATGTAATGAATATATATATATATATAACGAATATAAAATAATGAATATATAATAATCAATATAATTATATATATATATATAAATACCTCGTATCTCTAGCAAAAATTACTTTGGATGGTTTAGTTTCATCAATATCAAATTCTTTCACAATGGTTTTAATGATTTCAACAAGTTCATCTTCTGTTTGAGCATTTGCTAATTGAGTTGCATATCCTTCCCATGATTGATGAAGCATTTCACCATATGGATCCACAAGTTTTACTCCATTATCCTATAAAATTAAATTTATAATTAAAATCTATCTATTAATTAAAAAAAAGCTATTAATTAAAAAAACTATTATAATTACAATTTCTCGATTATGGGATGCAGTGATCATGACTCCAATAACTTTACCGTCGAGTTTCTTTGAACGAAGACCTGCCAAAATACCAACTCTATAGACCACTGAATCTAATAGATCAGCCCTTAATAATTATTATTAAATGGTTAATAAATAATTATTAAATAATTATTAAAAATAATTATTAAACAATTATTAAATGATTATTAAATAATTATTAAATGATTATTAAATAATTATGTAATATTTATATAGAATTAAATATTTCTCGAAATTATAAATAATGATAATGATAAAAGTAATAAAAATTATGCATCGTAATAATAATAATAATAATTATCATATCTATAATAATAATTACAAAAAAATTTGAAAATTCATACTTCATTCGAAATCCGGCTGTTCCATGAGTGTATTTAATATCTTGTGGTTTTGGATGTTGAGCGGCATCTGTTTTGATTTTATCATAATTAATCGATGCCATAATTTTTTTCTATAAAAAATCGAATAAATTTAAAAATAACAAGAAAGAAGTTTCGAGTGTTCAAAGTTCGAAATATGTTTGCATAGTCGTGCATTAAAATCAGCGATGGAAAATTTGTCATACGAAACACAAACAAATTGATTACCAGCCAGTTATTATTTATTCTGTTCTGTTAAACAAAAAAAAAATAATAATACTAACTACATAAACTTCTTGAATATCTCTTGATACCTACTAGAGCTAACATTGTATATCTTTAATAATAATAATAATAATAATAATAATAATAATAACAACATAATAACGTGACATGATTAGTTACTTTATTAATTTATTTCTTTATTTTGTTTGATAATTTAAAAAATATTCTAAATATTCTAAATAGTTAATAACTGATAGATAATAATAATAGTTAAATGTTGTAACTAAAATCTTTAAAATCTTTGAATAATTTGAAATAAGAATTTTATCATCCATTTTAAATAGTTTTCTCTTGACACATTTCTTGTGCTTTTTCTGATCAATCAAATTTGGAATCAAGAAGATATATATATATATATAACTTGTGTCAGGTGAAAGTGCTTTCAAAGCACAAAATTTCAATAAGATCCCTCACATTATTCTATACTATAAATACAATGATATGAATGGCAAGAGACTAGTTATAATACATTATGAATACACTATACATAAATACATATAAATACACTATGAATACTAAATAAATCCAAATGAAGAATATTCAAGTGGACGTTGTTTGTTTGTTGTTGGTGTTGTTGCTCTTCTTTGAAAATCACATCCATATTAAAAACGAGTTCGCACCAATTTCGATCATTTTATTATCTACATTTAAATTTGGCAAAGATTTTGCAAAGGTAATAAAATTCCAAATAACATCGAAATATGTGTACGCAAAATATAGCAGAATGGAAAAAGCGACTATTGATAGAAGTAATAATATTAAAAGATATATAAAGATTAAAGCAAAAAGATGTGGTGATGGCATAACTCTGTGATGTACTGCCAACAAATGCATTTATATATTTTTTTAGAATTTTTTTTTTTTTGATTTCACTAAGTACTAAGAGTACTAATAAATGAATAATTTTTACTTTGTAATGAATTTTTAAAACATCCATTGTTTTTCCTATCCTTTAAATATAAATTTTTATTTCAAATAAAAAATTTTTAATATTCTAAAAATATATAAATTTTGATTTTCTCAATGAAATTCATTCTACAATAGTGATATAATTGGTTCATTACTGTATGGAAATGATTAAAAAAATGAGAAAATTTTGTAAATAAAGAATAATTCAGCCACTCTTCCTCTTTCCTTGAGAATTTGGATCGAAAAGGGAAATGAATGAATTTCTTTAAATTAATCTTTAAATGGGTAAATGGTAATTACAATGAAATGACTAAATGATTATAAAGAACCTGAATATTCTTTGTGAATATCTTGTATATAAACATATAAAAATATCTAAATATTTGTGGAAAAATAAGATAACGCAGAACTTTGATTTTCTTGTTGCAGAAAAAATTCTACAGAGAGCATTGTCATATTGTTTAATTATGCTTGGTAGAAAGTTTTAACTAAATTTATTATTAAAATCCTTGGCTAGAATTCCCCTATCGGATTAACTAAAATTGACCGTGGTTCAAATGTATGACAACAGATCACGTTGAAGTTGTCACTCCCCAAGATTTTTCTATGTAAGGTGACAAATATCTGGTGATAAATATGGTTTTAATGAATATTTACACCTGCTGCTGTTAATTCATTACCAAGTGAAACTGGTAACATTTGTGAAACTAGTAATCTATAAATTTTTATTTAACAAAATTATCACAAGAAATATTTTATGTTCATATCCAATACATGTAAAATTAATGTTACTAATTAAACATTATGATTAAATTATCCATATGATCTAAATATTCGTGATTTTAAACAGAAAAATCCATCGACTTGAATATGGTACATAAGAAAAATAAAATTACGAAAAAATTTTTGTTAATTTAAAGTGAATTTTTTGCTTTAGAAACATTCCTTTAAATCAATTCCCAAAAGGATTTTCTCGTATGAATGGCTATTCTGTTACACAAAGGTTAGTTGTATGTATCACGAGTGAGTATATAATATCAGGTGATGCAGTCGGAACTTTTATGAAAATATTATTACTTTAATCCCGCCGAATTACAAAAATTTTCGTATATTATTGGTTGGAGATCGTCTTATGAATTCTCATTCAAATTTTTCTTGGAACTCTTTGCATACTAAAATTATAGTATTGATACAATATATGATTTATTTATTTAGAATTTTAGAATCTTTAACATTATATAAAAAATAATCTTTTTTTCTAATTCATTTTTATTATAAAAAATTCATTCCAACCAAAGATAATATTTAATTAGATAATGAAGATTTAAAATTTGCTTATGGAAGATGCATCTCAATCTATATAATCTATATAATCTATATGAAGAGCTGTCAAAAAAAAAAAACGTGGGAGGAATGCAAATAATGATATTTCTGAAAAGGGTAACTGCAAGTTTACGAGAAAATCTTAAATAATAAAACAATGTCCTCAAATAAGCCTATAGTAGAAAAGTAAAGAAAATAAAAAAAACCCACTTTTCATGAAAAAAAGAAAACTTACCATCTGATCCTATTCATGCTTTAGAGGTGTAACTAAGGTACAGGCACAATTTAAAGAAGCAGACAATTCATTTTCTAAAATATTTTTGGTATCAGAATTATTGTGGTTAGTATGTAGCATTTGGATTCGTGACGTAATATAAATAATTATTTAACAAAAATATTTTTATGGAATATTAAAATCATTGTATGATAAAGAAATAAAAATTTATTATATTACCAAAAAAATATTTAAATTATGTATAATAATCAACTGTTAAAAAAAAAAATTCAAAAAAACCTAATTTTTGTTCGAACATTGGCTTTGAAATCGAAAGTTGAAAATGACAAGAACCCAGCGGGTCCACTATTTTCCGCCTACATTTCTGGGAGAAAGGAATTTTATTTGTCTCCCTATATCTCAGAAGAAGAGTTTCTAAGTTTTAAGTTATCTATCTTTCGTTCTCCTTCAAAAAGTCAAGAATGTTCCATTCCGCAGACTTGCGGTTTAAGTATTCACGGGATCAGGTTATACATATACATTACATAAGGATTCTCGAAGGTTCGGGGAGTTATTTTAAATTGGATAAGAAATTTATTTTTATTTTTTTTCTAATCATTTCACAATGTCGAAAACACTTTCAGAAATTACTCCTATTGAACTTCATGGTACTTCCAATAAACGCACTTTAGTTGTTTCACGTCCAACTACCACTGTACGTGAAGCATTAAAAACCATGGCTACTCATAATATCACCTCTCTTCCCATTTATTCTCATGATTCAGATAAAATTGTAACAATAGTTAATCTTATTGATGTATTAAATTATGTTATCAAAGAAGCAGTATCCGATGAAAAGTTGCCTCTTTATTTAAATAGTGAAAAAAGTAAAAACTTGGATAATCAAATCGAAGTTGTTATGACATTAGATAATGAAAAAGAAAGTTATAGGATTTTTGAGACCGATGCGAATGAATGTCTTAAAACCGTGAGTTATTAATACAGTAAATTCAATAGTGAATTCTTTCTTATAATTAATATATTTTTAATTGGATTTAATTAGTTGATTATTTAATTTTTTAATTTTTTTTCGTTTCGTTCGATATATAAATATATACATATATATTATAGACTCTCGAGGCATTTTCCAAGGGAATTCATCGCTCTTTGGTAATTGACTATACCAATAACATGGAATCATATATTTTGACCCAAAGTGACATAATTAGATATGTTTATGAACATCCTGAATGTTTACCTTCGGTAGATTTTGATTCTTCGTTAAAATCCTTTGGATTAACAGGGAAAGAAAAAAATGTTGTATTAGGACATGATAAAGAAATTGCATTAAATGTTTATAGAAGAATGGCCGAAAATAAATTAACAGGAATTCCAATTATTGATAGGTAATTTAAAACTCTCAAATAATTAAATAATAATTATTCAATAGTTAAAATAAATATTTATTTCGTTATTTCTTTTCAGTGAGGATAAATTAGTTGGAAATCTATCTTTATCTGATCTTAGAGGATTAAGTTATCAATCCATCGATTGTCTTGTTTTGCCGGTTCTTGATTTTTTATCGGTAAGCAAGCAATGCAATTAAAATAATTAAACAATTTTTATATATAATAAATATATTTTATTTTATATAATGATTATTCATAAATAAATATTAACATTTAAATAATATAAATATTGTAATAGAAAATTCCAAATAGGAAAAATAGTTTAATCCCATTTTCATTAACGGAGAATTCATCACTGCAAGAAACTTTAAAATTAATCACCGATAAACATATTCATCGTGTATGGATTGTCGATGAAGAACACAAAGTTCAAAATGTTATTACCTTGACAGATTTAATTACAGTTTTCTTAAAGCATTTGGCTTAACGATAACTTGAGATTGATTATATCAATAATTCATTTCTTGAGATTCAAATTATATTTCCATAAAAAATAATTGTATCATTCATTTATTTATTTATTTATTTATTTATTGTATGTACTTTTATAAATATTTTGGAAATCTAATTTATGCAGACTTTGTTTTTGTAATCATGTGAAATAGTAAAATAAATTAGCTGCTGTTTAAATTTACCATAACAAAATAGATTTTTTTTTTTTTTTTTTTCTTGAATATATAAAATTCATTTTTCATAAATATAATAATAATGGTTTCATTCATCACTAATAGAATCTAATGCATTTTGAAATGCTTTCAACAAAATTTCTTTATCTTCTAAACCAACACTAACTCGTACGAGTCCAGATTCAACACCGTATTTTGATGCCCAATCGAGTTCTAGATAATGTGCCAAAATGGTATATGGACATGCCAAAGTAAAATTTGTTCCCAATGATGGACCTTTTGCAATTGATAATGCATCAAAAAATTGTTGTGATGCTGAATCTGAATAAAATGTAATTGAGAACAATCCACCATAACCTCCTTGGGATCTTTTATATTGAAGGTAAATTTCGGACGTTATATTTTTTGGATAATAAATTTTCTTAACTGTATTATTAAGTTTTAATTTAATTAATTAATTTATTTATTTAATACAGACCGACATAATAATCAATTATAATAAAGAAAAATTTATTTATATTCGACACACTAACCTTTTGAACTTTTTCTAAGTAATTCGTATATTTCTTCTGTATTTTCATTAATTTTCAAAATACGTTCACGAAATGTTCTAGAGTTACGTTCAAGTACTATTGCATCCTCTCTCCATAATAAATCTTCATATTCAATATCGATAACTTTTTTCAATGTATCATAATATCGTCGTTGAGGATTTAAAACCATACTTTAAAAAATTTAAAATAAATAAATATCAATTGTATCAGAAATATTAAAAAAAAAAAAAAAAATATGAAAAATGAAAAAAAATTAAAGTTAATAATTATAACGCCACCAAAAAGAAATTAATTACCTTCCTCCCATGACATTACTGTCACCACTAAAGATTTTTGATAAACTAGAAACCATAATATCAGCCCAATTTAAAACTTCTACATTAACAAAATTACCAATTGTTTCATCTATCACTATCAAGAAATTATATTTATCTGCTAATTTTCTTAGACGTTTTAAATCTGACGATTTACAAAGAGGATTTGATGGAAATTCACAAAAAAGAGCTAGAATTTGTTCACCAGATATCAAAAGATTTTCAATCGCATCTATATCTTCGAAAGAACCATTTCCAAAAAAATGACACCCTGGACCAAATTTCTCCAAGATTTTTAAAGTATCTATGTAAGGAAAGCTAATATTTTATAATTAAAAAATTTTAAATTAGATATAATAGATTTAGTGGATATAAGATATTAAGATATATTAAACATAATAAATAAATTATAAATAAATAAAAATTATAAAAAATTATAAAAATTTTTAAATTATAAAAATGTTAAATATAAAAGTTACTCACCCAAAACAAATACTTTTTTTTTGTTGAAAAGCCTTCAATAAAAGTTGATGAGCATGAAATATAGAACTCATCCCAGTCGGGAAAAGATAAACATCATTTTCCGTAATACCTTCAATTCCACGTTCATTTGCATTGATTGGTCTAGAAATAATTTCATCAAGATTATTTCCATTTTTTTCAATTCCAAGAACGCCAGCAATTCTACGTTTTAATGCAATTTTTGCCTTATTAGCAAATAATATAGGTAAGTTTCGACCATATCTTTCTTCAACATAACAATTTTCTTCCACTTTTTCCGAATGTTCAGAGAAAGTTATATCTGTAGGAGAAATTCTTTTTGAATTTGATATTTGTGGGTTACAGTAACGTATTTTGAAAGATGATCTTCTCTTTGCCGGAATTTTTGTGTATTGTTCTTCTTCATCTTGTTTTGCTTGCATTAGACCAAGTGCGTATTCAGCCAACCTAGAAGAAATACCAACACCAGTATGTTGCCAAAATGATTTTGCAATAGGGAAGGCATCTTTAGGGAATAAAACTACATGAAGTGTGACACTTTCATGAAATGAAGTAGAAATAATTTCATCTAGTGGTACAACAGTGAGCTCAGCGAGACGTATACATACTGGACTGACGAATTTTTCTGACGAATAATATTTACGTATATAAATTCTACAACAATGAGCAGTTTTGTGACTTGGAAATAAGAGACATGACTCCGTTTCTTTTGCAAACTTTTGTTCACAAATAGACATCAACTAAATATATATAAATATAATAATATTTAATATTCATTATATAAATATGAAATATAAATTTGATATTAAATAAGATATTAAATATATATAAATATATAAATATAATATATAATATGATATAATATTATATAATGATTAAATATAAAAAAATATTAACCTTTTTTATTTGATTATGAATAAAAAATCTGGGATATCCATTTGACATACGACTTATAACTCTTTCACGAGCTTCCTCATAGTCAATATTATCTTGCCAAGTGGGAAGGTTGACCGAAATAGCATGAGGAGTATTAGCCGGAATTGGATCCCCTATTTCAGCCGTGTCAGTTGGAATATACATTTTATTCATTTTATTCATTTTATTAAAGAAATTTTTTTAATCTGCTTTATTGTGTTGTGTAACGTAGATAAAATATATATATTTAAAAATCATTATTATTTTTTTTTTTTTTAAAAAAAAACAAGAAATGATGAATACAATTTATTCAACTGAACAACAAAAGATTGATTTATGTATATATCACATCAAATTACTTATTTTATCGATTAAATATAATTATTAATTAATTAATTAATTATTTATTTATTAACAAATTATAATTATAAGCAAAACCAAGATATGATCAATCAAGTTATTATGGACGTGTAAAACATTTTATCAATGTGACAGATATGAGGCTGGTTTGCTTCCCAACTTTTAATTTGTAACTTCCCAACCTCTTTTTAGCAATAACTGAAAGAATTAATTAAATATTATTTGTTTAATAACATATAGAACATTATTTGTTACGAGACGTGGAGTGGAAGAAGCAAAAAATTTAATTAATGATTATAATTCGGGGAAATTAAAAGTGGAACCAGAAAAATTATGGCATGCAAAGAAAAGTGAGAAATTATTATTATTTATCATCAACAATTAAAATTCAAAATTTTCATTATTATTTTTTTTTTCAAGTAATCGATTCAACAATTCATCCAGATACTGGTGAACCAGTGTTTCTTCCTTTTCGTATGTCATGTTTTGTACCAACAAATCTTATCATAGTTGCTGGTATGCTAATGCCAAATCCAAGTGTGAGTTTTATACCATCGACATTTTTTATTGTCGAAAAAAAAATTATATAATTTATTTATATATACGATTTTCGAAATCCCCAAAGATCTGACATTGACAGAATTTCTAGATAAAAAGTATTATATTTTGGCAATGGGCAAATCAAAGCATAAACGTAGCCATAAACTATTCAAATGCTAATAAAACGACTGAGATGAGTTTAAAAGAAACTGCTAGTAAGAATTAAATAATAATTTTAAAAAATTTAAATAATTTAAATAATTTAAAATTATTTTTATAACATATTAACATTAACACCATCATGTTTACATATAATTTATAGTCGCGTATGTTGCAGCAGTGACAACGTCATGTGGTTTGGCTGTTGGTTTAACGCAATCAGTTCCGCGATTAAAATTTTTGAATCCAGCTGTCCGTCAAATATTAGTAAGATTAGTTCCTTTTGTGGCTGTGGCAAGTGCAGGAACTGTGAATGTATATTTAATGAGGTGGAAAGAAATCAGGTACATTTTTTTTTATGAAATAATTTCATCATTTTCATTTTTTGTTGATTAATTTAATAATAATTTTGCTATTATTTCTTTTTTTTTTTAAAAAAAATTTTCTATTTAGAGATGGTATTGATGTGTATGATGAGAATGGAAACACACTTGGAAAATCACAAATAGCTGGTAAATCCGCTGTTGGACAAGTATGTTCTTTCTTAAATTAATTTTTCTGCCTAATAAATTATAATCAATTAAATCAATTTATAACAAATTATAAATTATAATTAATAGGTTGGAATATCCCGTGTATTAACAAATTTCCCTGTTTTAACAATTCCACCACTTGCTCTTTCTTTACTTGAAAAAACTCGATGGCTTAAAAGAAATCCAAGATTAACAACTCCCATCAATTTTGGTATGATATTATAAAAATATTTTTTTCAATAATGAAATAATAATAATTTCTACTTAATTTGTCTAATAAAAATATTGCTCTATAGGACTGATAGCTTTATCATTGACAACAGCTTTACCATTAGCGATCGCTGCATTTCCGCAATCTGCTGTTATTGACCCTTTAAAATTAGAATCTAGATTTTGGGATTTAAAAAATGAAAAAGGTGAAAAATTAAGAAAAGTATTCTTTAATAAAGGGTTATAAATCTAACCCATATTTTTTTTCATATTTTTTCACACTTTCATATTTTTCATACTTTCACATTTTTCATACTTTTCATATTTTCGTATTTTCGTATTGATGTCCATGTCATAATATTTAATTTATATAATAATAAACATTACAAATTCTTGCATAAATCGAAATAAAATGATGCTTTGCTTTATTAATATTATTAAAATAAAATAGTCATAATAAGTTCATACATCAATTATTTCAAATGACATTTAACTGAAACATTTTTAACAGTTAATTCGTGATTTGCTAGAAACGGAAAGGATTTATAATGGATTTCGGGGGCAACTTAGCAATTATATTAAAAAATTAATTTCTTAATCAAGGTATATCTCTTTATTTACTGATGTTATCATTTGAAACCATTGCTTTTTATGATGTTAATGGAGAAAGGGAAAACTATTGTTTAATAAATGCTGCTCTATTTTCTCTGCATATACTTATTTCATTAATGATAATATTGAGGTCTGATGATTTTCCACCTGGTTAATGTTTTATTCACTGTTTTTACAAACATTTTTGACAGATTCCATTGCACACAAAATTATGCAATGTTTAGAAATATCACATTGTAAATTTAAGCAATATTTTTAAATTTCTTTAATTTCTTTTTGTGGAAAAAACCATTCCTTAAGAAATAAATTAGGTTGACATAATTAAACCAAAATTTGACTATGAATTTTCAGTTGGTTATAATAAAATTAAAGAATAAACCAATTGTTTCAAATTAATTAAAGTAATCTTAAAGTAATACGTATTAAGACATCCAAATTTATATGTATAAATCTGACGATCATTTGCTTATTCTGAGGCAAATTTTTTATCCCACATATATATATCACAAGATACGTAGGTTTTTTTTTTTTATTTTTTTATTTTTTTTAATCACAAATAGACTTTATAATGCATAAAATCCAAAGAAATTCAAAGTTAAATATAGTATTATTACTATTATTATCACTATCATCCTTCATAATTTTTTCATATTCTTTCCCTCTAACATATGATGATCGCTCTAATAATCAATTGATATTTAATAATACTCATATTTTATGTGGATATGCGAATATTTCATTCTCTTCTCAAATCCCTCCTTCTTCAAATCCTCCTGTACCATTCTATGGTTATTTCTCGTCATGTGAAACCTCTCTTGGTTTCACAATTATAAATGGTCGTTTTTATAACCTTCCTAACAACGATACAAATCTAAAAAATTATTATTTATATCTATTATATCCAAATAACAAAATGAGAAGAGATTTAAGTTGGATATTCACTAAAGGTCTAAGAGTGTCTGATGGAATAGCTCGTGAAGCTATTTTGAGTTTAATAATTCGAAGAAAAAGTGATTTTCCATTAAGAGGCGCAAATAGTTATGTTGGTGGTTGGGTAAAAGTATATCATATTCAGAATTCGGTAATAACTAGTGCAGGTCCAGCTCGAATACATTAAAATTAGAAATCATAATTTATTTACATATTTTTTTGTTACATATATTATGTTTTTTTTTCTTTCTTTCTTTAAAAAATATTATTTTCAATTAAATTAGAATAACAAATATGTGTTCTCAACCATGAAGCTTTAGTTTCAATTAGCAAAGTTGCAATTTTGTTTGTTAATCTTCAAGTTCAAAATCAATCAGCAACTAACATTAATTTAAAGTTTCAACGCTTTCTAAATTAACAATTCCTACATAAATGTACCTACGCAAAATTCAAGAACTTATAATTATGATCCTATTTAAAATTTGTAAGAAAAAATGACAATAATAACAAAAAAATATATCCTATCTTAATTATATATAATCAATAATCTTTAATTTATTGTATTAATTTAAAATTTTTTTCTGAATTAAAGTTGTTATTTATGTCTATTATTATTATTATTTATTAGAAAGAGAATGAGTTATCACCCAAAAATAAAATATAAATAAAATAATAAAAAACATACAAAAGAAGATATTAAAATACAAAAAAACTTAGAAATTGAAGTCCCTTTACTAAATTTTCAAAATGTAAAAATGTAAAGTTCACACGATTGAATACATTTTAAATTTGTACTATGACATGAAAAGAATTATGATCAACTGCGCAAATGATTGATGCAATGTCGAAAATTTAACATTGGTCATGAATTATTGTAAGAATAAAGTGAAAGAAAATATGATTCATTTGGTTTAAAATTATTATTTGATCAAGATTCTCAATTGTGATTGGCCTGTTTTGAGATAAAATTTTTGTCTACTGTCTAACCAATCGTTTCAAACCCCCAACTCATTTTATATTGCACAATAAAGTTGTTTTTTGTTTTTCACTTAGTTTTGATATTAAAGAACAACTTTAATTAATAGAAATAATATATTAATAAACATGCTTACTTTATAACAAAGTTTTGAAATGCGACCATATGTATTATTTCTATTGAGAATTTTTTTTTATTAAATATTATTAATTATAATCAAAAAAATAATTAAAAATATAGATAAATTAAATTTAAATTTAGGCAGGAAAATATTTATCTAATAATAATGCAAAAATAAATTGAATAAATGACAATTACAATTAATCGCACTTTACTAATGAAAAAGAACTCTCATTTCATTTATTAGCACTAATAAATAATTTGTGAATATTTATAATTTAAGCAATATAAACAGTCTTTTCTTAATAAAATTGTTGTTTCCTTTTTTTCTGAAAATAACATCATCAATCGTTCGACTGGATTGTAAATGAGGTTAATAATAAGAATCTTTTTTTTACCTACTCAAAGCAAAGTAATTTTCTTTGAAAGATACAAATTTTTATTCTATTATCATTAAAAGACAGATGGAAAATTAGTTTTTTTTTATTATCTAGGCATGAAAAATATAATTTCTAATTTTTATTTTGCGAAAATTATTCATATTTTTTTTATTTTCTTTTACGAAAATTTAAAAAAAAAATTCGAATCTACTATCTGAAATTCAAACCCAAGATATAAGAAACTATGTATTAAAAAAGGATAATATAATTAATTAATAACTCCCAAAAAAAATTATTGTTTTAAATTATTATTTTTAGGTAAATCTTGAAGTTGATGAATGGACTTCTTTTTATAATCTGCTTTCTGAATTTTAAACAAAAAACTTATTATTTCAATATAGAATGTTTTTGTTTATATGAACTTGAAGAATGCTTGTCAATTAATAATTTTCTGCAAAAATCAAAAATGTAAGTCAATTAATAATTTTTTCAGAAATGTAAGTTGCATTCGAAATATTGGTGAAACAAAAAATTATCAATTTAAACAGATATTTTGATATAACAAATTAATTAAATTATCAATTGTCAATTATTAGCCTTGCTAATGTAATTCTTACTGACTAAATAAAATGGCTTGAATTGATCAATGCAATTTTTTATTTTTACTGATTGGTTGAAATTTTTATTTTACGAAATCGAAAGAAACTTTGCGTATCATTTTTGTTTATATTTGAATTGAAAATCAAAAGTCATTTTTATCAATTAAAAATTTTCTGTTCTTTCTAAAAAATAAAAATGTAAATTTCAAATTAAAATTCATTTAAATTATCAGTTATAGTATTACCACTTGTTTTAATCTCATTTCTGAAGGTAATAAAATTTAATAATTTTCTGTTCTTTCTGCAAAAATAAAAAAAAAAGCATATTACATTCATTTTAATAATATTTATCATTTAAAAAATTTTCTGTTCTTTCTACAAAAATAAAAAAAAAATGTTGGTAAACAGATATTTGTTATAGCAAATTAATTATTTGTTATATAATTATTAAATTAATAATATATGGATTATCCATTTATTTATTTTTCGTTTATGCAATAATTAATTACATAATTATATTTCCATCATGAATGTGAATGTTATTTAATAATATATCATATTCCCAATTATTCCTCTTCTTCACAAATAAAAGGTTGTTATTTGTAAATTGATCTAAATGTAAAAGAAAACAGACATTTTTTGTATATCTAAGCATAGATAATGTTTCTTAAAACTCATATAAAAGAAAATATTCTATATTGATAATTAGTATTTGTTTCAAATTTAGAAGGCCGATTATAAAAAGAAGCTCATTTATCAACTTCAAGATAATAATAAATATAAAATTAAAATGAAGCGTACTAATACAGAATAATTTATTCTTTCCCTATCTTTTATATAATCAGAATATACATTAATGCAATCATCAGAACTTTGATTACTTGTTTCTTAATTTTTACAGAAAGAATCTAATATGATAAATCTAATATTACACTTTCAAATATTAAAAATAAACAAACCTAATCAAATTAATAGATTATTATTAACATTTAAATCAATTTTTTTTTTAATTTAAATAAGCAATTAGCATTAAAATTTTCATCAAAAGATAAATTTTCATTATTTTCATCTAAATATGAATCTTCATCATAATCCAAAAACAAGTCTCTATCATTTTTATCTGAAGATAATCTTCATTATAATCTGAAGAATCTTAAGGCAAATCTTGTCATTTTCATTCAAAGATATGTCTTCTTCATTTTTGTTTAATGATAAATCTTCACTTTTGTCCAAAAATATATGTTTATCATTTTTATTGAATAATATATTTCTTCACCTTTATTTTATTTAATAATAAATCTTCATACTGGATCCATTTTCACTTGAGGATGATTCACATTTTTGTCCTTTTTCAATTTTATGTTGCCGATATAGAAACTAATCTTCCATTTGAATCCATTTTTTCTTACAAATAACAACCTTCCTTTGTTTGCCTATTTTAATGTATTCAAAATATATATAAATAATTATTTTACATCTTTCATTCTTTTACCTTTCCTTTTATTTATTTTTGTTTATTTCTCCCTCCGTTCACTCTCCTTTCTTTATTCTTTATAATTAAAAATACTTGTACAGCCTAGTCACAACAAAATTTTTTTGCCTACTTTTAAATAGGTATAACTTCCAAAAAAAGAAAGTAGGTTAAAAAAAAAAACTCATTAGGCAATGTATTTTATTTTTTTTAATTTATATCATTTTTTTTAAAAAAAATTTAATGACTGGTTTATTGAAAAGAAAAAAAAAATATAAAAAAACTTGCTGAAAAAGGATGTAAAAAAATATCCAAATAATTGAAACGATACTGATGAAGAAATTAAATGGGGAGATGATGAATTAGAAGATAACTGTAATAATTTACTTCAAGTTTATATTCCATCTGCATCAACATATACAGGAAATTTAAATGATCGATCATTTATTTAAAGGACAGCATTTGTTATCAATATCAACAATGTTCCAACCAATAACAGGTGAAACTACATATTCTTCGTTAACCTTATCCTGCCTAGCACCGAAAAAACCTGCAGCAAAACTTAATTTAAAATTCTCTTAACTGATTTTCATATTGAATGGAACATATACTAATCCAGGAGGTACAGTACTTCATTAGGAATAATTTGATTTTCCCTAATTTCAAATCTTGACTTGTTGCGAGGAAAAAAAGCACCTATCCATCCATTCCAAGAAGGAGTTGGCAAGCCACTAAGGTAAGGAACATCGAAAAGAGCTATGCTCCAAAATTTTTCGTCAACGTCTCCCTTATAAGTGGAGACAAATTGAGCAATGACTGGTTCTAACCTATCCAACCAGAAATCAAGTCCCAATCCTAAATCACGGATTTTTGTAACTTTTTCCTGAAGATGTAACTAATCTTCCAAGGTGCCATCAAGGGTGACCTTTGGAATACCGCAACCAACACGTAAGCTGTATATAAAATACTTTTTCATTGCATCTAACAAGATAATTTGGCTAGCAGTAATAGATGCATTTGTTGAGGTAGAAAAATCACATTCAAGATGTTTTTTTAAAACCAACTTTTTTTAACTTGCTTATCAATATTATCAGAAAGTCGAGCAATCACCTATAAAATTTCTGTCGAAATATCCTAAAATATCTTCGGCCTCTACGGTAACATCTACTTTACCTTCATGATCAACAAATAAGTAACGAAAACACTCAGCATTAACAAAAATTTGCCTGCTAACACCTTGTTCAACCGTTAACCATACATCATCTGAAGATGCTGGTGAAGGACATAAGCATGAATGATTGCAGATGAAAATCAATGTGGAGTAGCATTGCTCTGGATTATAGAAGTTGAATTGGAATCCGAATTTTCTGCAAATTCAGATGAAAAAGCGTGTATTTTACATTTATCTTTCCATGGCTTGAAATGAATTTTAACATCTTTGTGTTCGAGATGTACATTCTTTTGTTCAAATTTATTAGTTATTATTTGGGTGCTTTTTGGTAAGGCCATTTGTCTTAAAGTTCAAAAGTTTAAAAAAAAAAAGTCAAGGGAATTTGAATATCATTTTATAAAAAAAAATGCAACGGTGTGTGATTATACAGAAAGAACAAGAAAGTTATGTAAAGTAATACCAGAATCATTGATAAGATAAATTGGATGACTAAATAAAATTTAACACGTTGTCGCTGTAAATTCTGATGCTGATGGAATAGATACAAAATATTCTGAATTCTAATTTATAAATATTTGGAATTATATATATGAAAAATTTAATTTTTTATTATTATTTTAGTTGAACAGGAATACGGACTGGACTTGTAAAATCAAGTGATAATTTCATTTAATTTCTTTCGTAAAAAATATATAATCGAAATTGATTAATTCGTGGTTCGCTAGAAACGGAAATGATTTCAGGGAACTTTTCCCAATTACGTATATATAAAAATCAATTTCTTAATCGTTAAAAAAAAGGCATATCTGTTTATATTATTGATGCTGTCTAAAAAACCATCGTCTTTTATGATATTCTTATTCCGGAACGATATTATGGTTCTTATATGTAGATCTCTTTCCGTTTATTTTTCGTTTCTATTTTTTTATAATTTTGTTAGAAAAATGAATATCAGATTACGATCATTTTTTGATTACTGATTATAATATCTATTACTATTACTGTATTAACGATTCATTAAAATTAGAAATATCCAAATAAGTCATTTCAAAACGATATAATTCAATCCAAAATTCGAATTTGTATTACACAAATCTTCAACGTGCATTTTTCATTATTTAACGCCGCTGTGTTCAATTTAAATTCTTTCTCTTCCGTACACGCATTTATAAAAAAATGTCGGAATCAAAAGATAATAGTAATAATGATAATAACAAAGATATGATTATAATAATTGATGATGATGATAAAAAAACAAATTCAACTAATGAAAACAATAATTTAAATATAAATAAATCACATGATATCGAACAACAACAAGCTGTTAACATCGAAGATAATGAACAAAAGAATGATGATAATAATAAAAGTGGTTCAGAAAAAGGTTTTTCAAAGAGTTTACATGTTGGTGGTCAAAAATTATTAGTTGTAGAACACGAAAATGAAATATTAAGTGGTGAAGGAGCTCCTTTTTGTTGTGTTATCGGATCACCTGAACATGTAGGTATTTAATATTAAATTGATAAATTATTAGATAATTAATTATTTAAACTATTTGTTAAATTTATTTGTTTGTATTTGTTATCAGACAGCTGCGTTAAGAGAAAAAATTGATGAATTAAAATTAAATTCCGCTCGATTAGAGAAAGAACGTTCTCAATTAGAGCAAGAGCGTGCTGCTGCTCTTGAACGTTCTGCAAACATAGGAACTCAACTTGACAAACTTGTCAATGAATTAAAATATCTCGGTCACGATAATACTGATTCGAATTCTGAACAAACGATTCATGCTACTGTGCATACATATGGTCACTTACAAAAATTGGAAATTATCGCTGATGAAGATGAAATTATTCATAGCTATGATAGATTAATGAGAAAACCAAGAGTGAGACAATATTGGCATAAAGGAACTTTGCATCGAGAAGCAGATGAAAGACATGCAAGTTTTACTGAATTATTTTGGGATTTAATATTTGTGGCTGTGGTTAGGAATTTGGGACATACGTTAGTATCTGATATTTCTGGAGCAAATTTAGAAAGATTTATTTTAACATTGTTAGTATTAATATTTTTTGATATGTATTTTATATACTTGATATTATATTTATTAAAGAATTTATAATAATTAATTGATAAAATATTTTGTATTTGTAGTTATCCTATTTGGAGAGTATGGTTGGATGTCGCTTCATATTTAAATATATTTAGTTCGGAAGATCTTGTTGAGAAATTCATTATTCTTTGGGTAAATCAATTATCTTTTTTCTCCATTTTTCATTTCACATTTTTCTTTATTTCTCATATATGATTATCTTATTATTTGTTATTTGTAGGAAATGGTTATCGTAATAGTAATGGGAACTCATGCATCAGATATAATTCATTTAACAAGTTCTACTTTCATTAGTAAATATAAGGCTTTCGTTACTTTAATATTATTTATAACTTTCAAAGATTTAATTTTTTCTTCCTTTGCTTTTGTTAACTTAATAATTTTAATAGTAAGTTATGTTCTCGCTCGTCTCTCGCTTGCAATGTTATACATTGTGTACGCAATTTGGATACCAACGTTTCGTACCGGTTTTATCGCAAATGTATGGGGAATCGTAATCCCATGTACAATTTGGTTTATTGCCATTTTTTCACCATCAAATAATATTAATATTGTTATGTGGGTAGCTGTTTTATTTGGTATGTCTTTAAAAGTAATTTTAATGTCATTTTGCAAATATAATACTTTGATAATTATTTAACGTATTTCAACTATATATTTATTTATTTATTATTTATCTATTTATAGAATTGTTTTGGCATGGTATTTTAACTTTTTTTTTTTTGAAATAAAAGTAATTTATAATATTTTTTTTAACCCATTTTAAATTAAATTCGTATAGCCTTTATTCCACTTTATCACCGACATTTTACAAAAAATCCTGCAAATCATATTCACACTCGAGATTTTAATCGAGTCGATACACCAAACGAATCAATTGAAAATTCGATCACTTCTCCCACAAAATCAAGTGTAAATTTATCGACTCCTCATAAAGCAATGAAAACAAGTGGTACTGAATTTCAATGGAAGTGGACCGATATGTTTAACATTTTGAAGCATAGTGAATACCGTACAGCATTAAATATTGAACATTGGAGTGAACGAATAGGATTATTTACTATTATCGCTGTAGGTGAAAGTGTAAGTATTCACTAAAAGGTTCCTTTATAGATATAGAAAAGGTTTTTTTGTAAGGATGATATTCATTTATAGTTATATTATTAGGTTCTTGGAGTATTATACGTGAGTACTAATGTATATCCAGATGGCCAACTTGCTAAGGTAATTTATTTATTTATTTTCCGGATTATCTATTAAGTTTTAAATTATTCGTTCGCATTTATAATAATTTTTTTTTATTAATAATTATATAGGCTATATTAGGTTTAATAATAGCATACAGCATACACTGGATATATTTTGATGTTGATGCAAGTAGACAATTTCAACATGCATTGAGGAGACACGTGTTTACTGGAGTTTTGTTTACTTTTATTCATTTCCCTTTGGTAAGGTTAGAGTTAAAATTTTTTCAAGTATTTTCATATCAAAGATACAATTTATTTATAATTTGTTTAAAACATTTAAAATACAAAGATTATGTCGTTAATCGCATTTGGGTAAGCTATAATGATATCTTCTCTATCACTTAAATTTCTAAATTATAAAATATTTAAAATATTTAAAATATTTTTTAATTTCATATTTTATAGGAGTTCTCTTGGAAGCCTGATGACAATAATGGACTATCTTGGTGAAGAAAAAAATCATACTTCTAATGTTGAAGATTCAGATGTTAGTAGTCATTTATTATTTGGTCGGGAAGTAAGCTCTGAAAGTACTATAACCAAATTTCCGGCGTCCTTAACATGGTTATTTTGTGCCTCTTTAGCTATTGCTATGTATTCAATGGCGATAATTGGGGTTTTACATAAAGGTTTGGACTCTGTGAGTTTAACGAGAATTCCAAAGGTAAATTTAAAAATGTTACTTTTTTTTTTATGCTCACATCTAATCTTTCATAACCTAATCTATTAATTAATTAATTAATTTCTTTAATAGTATCAACGAATAACCTTACGATTCGTAGTAGGCACAATATTTTTACTCCTTCCTCTGGCGCATCTCAATACATTAAATTTGGTAGCTATCCTTGCTTCACTTTCTATCTTTTTAGTAATAATAGAAGCATATGGAAGATTAAGAAGTGATATGCCATTGTTTGGAAACTGTGATGAAGATGTTATAGGGGGAATGAATGAATCTAGTAGATATATAAGATGGCGATGGGGAACTGCAGGCTTGAATAAACGGGGATGGTCACGAGGATTTTTAAAAAGAACTAAGAATAAAAATGAAAAGAATGATAAAAGTGATGGAACGGATGAAAAAAAATAATAAAAGTGATGACACAAATGAAAATGTGATGTAAAATATGTGTAATGGAATATTATTTATTATTCTAATATCACCGTATTCTTATTTATTTATTTAAAAAAAATGATAATAATAAATTGTACTTCATATTATATAATAAAATAAATGCAACTAATGAATGGTATTTCGGTTGATTATGATTATAGTTTTCTAATATTTCATATGTATATTATTTCATCTGCATTCATTTCTTTATCTTATAATTCATTAGACAGTTTACTTTTAATACGTGATACTTGTATTTTTTGAGTGGTGGTTACAAAAATAAAAAAATACATACGAAGAGCTAATGTGAATACCAAAGTGAAATTAACAATAGGATACCAACCCAATTTCTTATTTACAGATTTTAAAGATTTTCTGTATATTCTTTGATCCGTTTTTCGCTGATGATTATACAATACTACAAACATAATTGTATACAATAATTGAAATGATACCATATATACTTTATATGGATTAGAAATCCAACATCAAGAACCAGAAAAAAAAATGGGGAATTCGAATGTAAAAATCTGACATTATATTTATTAGCGAAATCACGCTCACTATGAGAATATTCATATTAATAATAATAATAAATAAAATTTAAAAAAATAAATTATTACTTGATCATAAATTAAAGCTGTTGTAGAATGGGATATATTTGAAATATATGAGTATCATTGTCATAACCAATTTCACATCGAACTGTTCTTTTTTTGGTAGAATAAACCCAAGTTGTTTTAACAATATAATTATATGGAATTTATAATGCTGTGGAAAATGTTTGTTTTTCTTGATTTTGAATTACTTTTTTTCACTCAGAAATTTAGAATCATCTAAGTAAACATCTTTAAACATAATTTAAAACTACGCTTGATAATATTATTTACACATTCTTCATACAAAATTTTATTGTTTAAGGGCAAGTTGATTCGATTCTTCTTTAATACAAAGTTTATTAGAAATATTTTCTTGGTCACTATTGCATTCACTATCTGATGCCATAAAGATGATTTATGGAATAAAATGTTTTCTTAAAAAACAGAATAATAATTACATATTTAAACTATTTTTATCTTCAAATTTATCTGCTATTTCAGCAGATAAATTGGACATTCAGGAGGATCATCACTTCAAAATCGTTTAAATACCATTCTGGGCATAAATTTGGTCTTATACTATTACATATCTATCATCAAATAAGTATCATGTGCTCGGTCAGGTTGTGCAGTAATCATTTCATACCATACATAATACCACCAAAACTATAAACATTATTCTCCCTTGTAAATTCAACTCCTCTTAATGCCTCAGGTGGCATACAGTGGTGTGCAAAAAAAATGACAATTTTTTTAAAAAATGATTTACAAATGTAACTAACCCGATTTTGGCAGAAATTACACAAACTAATACACAAATAAAATCATATGATTGCTTGATCGTCCTGTGATAAAAAAAATTTTCTCACATAATAAAAATTATATTTTTACAAGCATTGAAATGGCACCTTCCAAGCAAGAAACCCAATGACAAACCATATTACAATTCTGGAGGCAAGGAATAACTAAAGCCGCTGAAATATATAAATTGACAAAGATTCACATAAAACTATCTATAGAAACCTAAAAAAAATAAAAGAAACTGATGACATTAAGCATAAAGGAGAAAATGGATGTATCAAAAAAATAATACCGGCAGCATCTCGTGCTCTTGGGCAGTATGTTCGAAGGCAACCATCAATTTCCGTGGGGGCTCTTGCTTCTAAATTAGAAGATATTGGAATAAATGTCTTCCGGTCAACAGTTTCAAGACATTTGGCCAACCTTGAATATCAAAATTCTCTTCCTCTCAGTATGCCAATGCTCACATCTGCTTATAAAGAAAAACGTGTCAAATGGGCACAAATGATGACTGGAAAAAAACACTTTTTAGTGACAAAACATCTTTTTAACTATTCCGCAATACAATTAAACACTGGTACAAGGAAGCAAGACCGGTTTGTCATATGCCAAAGGACTGAACTAAAATTTTTGCATGCTGGTTTTTGTGCAAAAGGAAAAACAAGTCTTTTCTGTTTTAAATGTATAATGGATGGAAAATTTTATGTAGAAATCTTAGAAAAACATCTTCCAGAGGTTAATAGAATGTTAAAAGGATAATGGTAACTACAACAAGATAATGACCTGAAGCACACCAGCTGTATTGCCAAAGAGTTTCTTAATAATAATGTTCAGGAAGTTATGGATTGGTCTTCTAATATTCCGGACCTGAATCCTATCGAAAATCTTTGGACAATTGTTAAGAGGAATGTGGAGTTATGTCAACTAAAAAATATTATCAAATTAGAAAGTTTTTTGGGTGAAGAATGGAAAAACATTCCAAATAACATTCTAATTAACACTGGTCGAAAATTGATAAAACATACACATATCGGGTACCCAATATGTGTATGTTTTATCAATTTTTGACCAGTGTAATCTTGTAAATTCAATGCTACAACATTGTAAAGAGGTTATTGAAAAAAATGGTGAACAAAAATCATATTAATTTTTTTTAATAAAATCTGCTGATTTTCGGCTTTCAAATAATATAAAATACATTTTAATTGATTTGCTAATCATTGAGATAATGTGTATAACTGCAGTTTATGTAACACCAAAACAGTCAAACCTTAAAATCTTTACAGATAACCAGGCAACAATTGACGTATACATAAATATCATGAAAAATGATAAGAAAAACCATATAAAAATAAAAAATTGGACATTACTCAAAGCAATAAATAAAATCATCTTTATACAAAAGATTAAATTAGAATTTATTAAAATAAAGGCACATTTAGGAATAGAATTTAATAATCTGACAGATAAACTTGTGAAAGAAGGCCATAACAAATCAAACTGCAGTTCAGACCTACAAATATTAGCATCAATCAATATAATTAGCTGCTGGAATTCACAACCCATAGAAGAATCTTTGAGAACTTTTACAAAAAAACTAAGCACAACCAAACAATTAGCTAGTTGGAGACTACTGAATAGAAATATAACAACAGTATCTGACAATAAAAGTAAGTAAATTTGTTGGGAATCATCATGGCAAACTACAACATTATCTTATATAGATAAACAAACCACAAATTTAAATAATACACGACAAAGATCCTTTAACATAAAATTAATGAAAAATGAGTTGCTTACATTAGAGAGACTTAAAAAATACTTCTCAAATATATACAAAGATGATAAGTGTCCTTGTTATAACATGGAAAAAGAAGACCAATATCATGTTTTTAAATGTACTCAAAACCTGGTAGATATGGAAATATGCATGAACAAATTTACAGATTTACTATGGGAACAAATTATTGGAGAATCGACATAAAGCCTTGGTGAAAATACAAGAATTACAATAAGCAACTTAAAAGAACTTGAGATTGAAATACAATTCATGACAAGAGACGGAAATGTATTTTTTATTCATTGATATAGTTTTTGGTCTCTTATCAAGCTCTTTAATAGAAATCATACATTCTATAGTTGGTAACAAAGAAGGAATGAATAAAATAATTAGAAATTTGATGGAAAAATTCAAACAATATATAAGAACAAATATATGGGTGAGATGTTGTAACGAGATAAAAAGGTGGGAGTTAGAAAATGGCATACGAAATAAAAATTAATGTAAAGTCTTAATCATGCCAAATAATAACCAGGTCACAAATATAAATATTAACAATAATAATAGTAATATTAATGATAATAATACTAACACAGATATAGAAAAAAATAGTAAAAACATAGTTAAAAATATATGTAATAATATAGTTAGCCAATTTTTTTATAAATTTATTAAGGAAAGGGTTAAATGGATAGAAATATATAATATAGATTGTTCAGCAAGGCCTTAACATGCTGAGAGCAAGTTTACTTGTCAGGTGGTAGGTTGCGAACCTGTCTCTTATGAGTTAGTTCAAGTTTCATCTTTTCAAATAAACATTAGAATAAGTTGTATATTTTGTATTATATAATCTTATGTAATGTAAAAAACTTTCTCTTTTTCTAATTAATAAATTTGAGGTAAGACCTCGCTGGAACAAAAAAAAAAAAAAAAAAAATCATCGAGATAATGTGATTTTTAAAATTGTCATTTTTTTTTGCACACCACTGTATATGGAATTGATTCAGAAATTTTTTATTTCCCATATTAAATCACAAAATTCTTTGGTTAAAAAATTATGTAAGTTACTATCAAACAATTCTAAAACAATAATGTAATGTAGTTTTGCATAGAAAGATTTTTTTAAATTCTATAATTTTAGCAAAATAAATATATTTATAATCAGTTTTCATCATAATATGAAAAATATTAAAAGCTAAATTAATTAATATTAATAACAGTTCATATACTGTAACTTACATTCTAAATATAAAGAAACATACCACATTCAGTAATTCAATTATATCAAATCTAGAATCTTTCATTTCTTTCAAAGCAACTTCGCAACCTGTTAAATAATGCCTGTTTGATAAAATTCCAATTCAATTTTATGCCATTTGTTAATTTGGCAGAATATACAGATCCATGACCACCATCTGCCATGTGCTTGATATTTTGAAAATTATCATAAGGCAACCATTGCAACTTAGGGTAGATATTATCTATTTGAGATTCTTGTATAATCTTATCAATGTCAGCATTCTTACTCAACTAAGTTTTAAATTCTTGGATAAAAAGATCTTTAGTACACAAATCACATTTTCCTCATAATTAAAAGAATGATGTACTGGACATCCATTCTCGAGACATGGGAAATAAAGAAATAAAATAAAAGGTATAATCGTTATTGAAGATTTTATTTTTTTATTCCCAGACTCATATGATTCATTGTTTGAGGTGATCATTGCCTTCTCTGATCATATTTATTTTTATAATATTTTTGGTCACTTTTGGCCAAATTATTATTTTTAAAAATAGATATAACTAGAGAAAATATTAAATACATTACAGATCAGGAGAAAAAATATTATTTACTTTATTTAACATTATTATTCAAAAAAAATAAAAAATATTTATTTATACTTAATTCATTTTTTTTTTCTTCGACTCATTTTTCCCCCGCTGATTAATAAAATTTAAATGGTTTTTCGCATAATTTTCAAAAATTAAAATGAATTTTTCTGCTGTTTTCAAATAAATATACCTGCTATTTTCAAACTTTCAGCACAATTGGATCAATAAATAAGATTATTTGCTTACACAATAAAATATAATAAATAAATTGATGAATTTTATTTTACAATTGATATAAATTTTTCTGATGTATTTACAGTAAATAAAAAATAATAATAAATCATAGCTTTTTGTTGGACAAACCAAAAATTGAATTTCCATCTGGTTTATAATTTTATACACATTCTTAATAAATATAGATTTTTGTTCAATACAAAAGCACCCTAGCTTGGACCTCTTGTATATTTAATTTTTTTTTCGCAATTCACTTGTTATTTACTTAAATAGAAATTGATTATTTTTATAACTGGTGAAACCAAATGTGTGATAATGTATTCTTTATTTTTTTATAACTTTTAAGCTTGATGCAACGACTAGGTGCTATGGCTATGGACTCTTTTACCGAAAAATTCCAACGTAGAAAAATTCTAAATTGTATGAAAAGAACCTTTACGGCTAAACTATTTGAATATCTACAGTATATGGCCGTATTAGTTTTTGAAATGGCTTTATAAAGTACATAAATAAAATTGTAATTAGAAATTTTCCAATTATTTTCCCTCATCATATAACTGTGATTCAATTATTTAATTATTGAGTATGTGAGATCAAGTATCTAAAGATTAAATATAAAGTTTAATTGAAATTCAAAAGTTGTTAATTTTAGCTTCATATTACATACAAATTATTTTATAAATTAATTAATTACTCATTTTTATAAGTATATTTAAATATATCTCATAATGAAATTGAGATTGAAACCTTCTCAATTAATCTTCCCCCATTATCTAACTTTCATTATAAGCTAAATAAAATAATATAATAGTTTAATAGAATAGTTTCATATAATCAATACAAGGAATTACACCAATCCCGTAAACAGTCAATATATAATTAAATATATAATTAAATAAATTCAAAATACAGAGAGTACATTTAATGTATATAGAGGAAATTAATACCTTAGAAATACCTTTCACTACAGAATTATCTCAAGTTTGGCAGCAAGTGCCAACCTGAAAGATTTTCTGAAAAATCAAAGACCAAGAATCGATCTAGATCTATTTACAAAAAATATATATTAGATTCATTTAAATACTTGTCAAATACTTAATTACAAACTTACTTTAAGCATATTCTCAATCACAACTCACAAATGTAATAGAATTATTAAAGAAGAAGAATGAATTCAATTTGAGTGATACCAAAGTACCATTATTCATTTGTATACGATTCATTAGTCCACGTTTAATTTGACAAATTTGACTATGATTCATTTGTGGTGTAATAATGATAATTTAAATGTATATTATTTCATATTATTAACTAAGTTGTTATAATAATGTGAGTTTATATGACCCGTGACTAGAGACAGCGTCTTGGCACATGAATTTTAGTGAGTGAATATATTGATCAAAGAAAAAAAAATTTATTTAATTTGTCCATCTAATCATTAAAAATAAATTTTTCATATATTGTATAATTCACATAAATTATCCGTGTCAAAATAATATCTTGAGGATAATAAAAATAATTATATAAATATATCAAGGAACAATAATTTGTAGTTCGTTGGTAGATTATTGTGTTTAAACAGATCTTGGTCATTACATATGAAAATGTGAGATTATATACATTTGAGGATATATTTATTTTATTAATTTATTTATTTATTTAATTAATTTAACTATTCATTATTTATTAATTTATTTATTAATTAATTACTTTATTTACCTTATTTACCTTACTTTTGATTGTTGATGATATATGTATACCGAATGTATTCACAGAAACAAAATCAAATAACATTTATATGATATAAAATATTTCAAATATCTAATCACATATTATATTTAAATAAAATTGGTAACGCTTAACTTGTTTATTGAGAAGATTAAGTATATAAAAAAAGTTTCAATAATAAAAATAATAAATTAAATAATTAAACAAACTTTTTTATAATTTCCCTTCCTTTTTTATTTCCTTCATTTTTTCTGTCCTTATTTATAAACAATGATACATAAACCACAACATTCAAGTTAATCTTCATTAATTTCCTGTTTCATATCAAAGAACTAGAAAAAATAAGTTAATTAAACAAAAATCATTTTATGATTATGTGAATAATTTATTGTTTACAATAATGATTTGTTCTCTAATAATCATTTAGATATAATGGATGGATATCAAGTAAAACATAATTGAGTGTTGATTTAATTTTTATTAAGTTTTATATTTAATATCTTCATTTAATCAAAAAAAAAAAATCAGATATACATGAAATCTGAAGTTTACATAAAATTAGATTTACTATTTTATAATTCACCTCATTATTATGTATTATATGATATTAATTTGAATAGTTTATAGTTCAACCCATTTCAATGTAATACCTAATATTGTTATTTCCAGATGAAAGCAAATAAAAAATTCATAAATGTTTATATTTAAAATAAGCTAATAAAGTGCTTATTCTTGTTTATCCTATTAAATTATGTTGAATCAAATTGAAATTACGAGAGCAAAAATGAAGACAGATGTCCTCTGAATATTAAAAAATTGATTAGTTATTATGTTGATATCATGCAATACTCTATAACTATTAAAATAATTATTAAAATAATTCGAAGTAGAATGGCAATGATATTTTTTAATTAATTATTTTCAATTAACATTGAAATTTAATGTTAATTTAGATTTTAATTTTATTATATTTTAATAAATTTAGAATATTTAATTAATAAATTTTAATAAAATTGTTATATAAAAAATTGCATAAATTTTATACCCAACTGATTTTTAATACATAATATTTTATTTAATATTTTCAATATTTCTTATGTTCAATGTAACAAATTCAATGAAATACATAACTCAACATGAAAATAAGTATATTTTCTGATTTCCATTATATTAAAAATAATATTAGAAATAAAATTATGAAATATTATCATGAAATATCAAATTGAATTCCATACTCTTCAATAACTTTTAGATTATCACCACTTACATTGGGGGATGAACATTTTAATCTCCAAAATAGTCGTAATCGTGTTATTCTTATGCATAATCTCCTAAATTTTTTATTTTCTCCTTTTCCTTTACTACACGACACCATCCTTCAAAAAATAGTCTTTGGGCGACTAAAACGCAACCTTCTAATTCTTGAAAATACATCCATGGATCTAATACATTCAGGCTAGTTCTCGTATTTCATTTATTAGCACCGATTCCACTAAAAAAAAAAAAATCGTCAATTATTCCACGCGCTTGATAAATAATTCTATTTCATGATATTGATATTGATATTCCATAATAACTATTAATTGGAATTAGTGTATAATATTTCTCCCATGCCAAGATTATCATATGCTTGAGACCATTCTAATTATTATTATTTAAAAAGTTAATTGACTAAATTACTATTTTTAATTAAACTTTAACATTAAATTAGTTTAATTAACCAATTTAATGTTGATTTGATTTTTAATTTTTAACGATAAAATAAATATAATATTTTAATAAATTAAAAAAATTTAAGCTATAAAATAATAAAATCATATAAAAATATATCAAAGCTTATTATATAATGTTGTTAGCGTTTTTAAAATTTTCAATATTCTTATATTCAACATAACAAAATTATAAATAATTCAAAGAAACGTATAATGATAACTCAACATCAAACAAAATATTGACTAAATATATTTCCCAATTTGGTAGAATTATTCAAATAAATAAATAAAATATTATTTAGAATATTCTACTACGTATATCAAATTGAACTCCATATTCTTCAATAACTTTAAAATGTTCATCACTTAATGCAAATAGTTGCGGTCCTGTTCGTTTTATAATAATCTTTTTATTTCATCCTCCTTTACACCACCCTTAAAAAAATTTTTTTAGACTATCAGCACTGGATATCCCCATTCTAATTTCGATAGTTTCAAGTGATTCTGGTACATTCTCAGCCATTTGACATAATAATTCACTAGCATCAAATCCTTCTATTCCACAACAAATGAAAATCTTCTTAATTCATTAAAATTATAATTAAATATTGCTATTACTTGTTCAGGACTTAAATCATGTAAAGTTAATTCGGTAATCTTTGTACAATAATTTAAAAGTACTGAAAATGTATCAAATGTGATTGTTGAAGAAAAATTTAGAAAAAGATTTTTTTAAATTTGTGTTGGCCATTTCGAGAATTTTTATAACAAATTCTTGAGGGTTACTATAAAAATAACCCATATGAGAATAATGAAAACTATCTAATTGAGTAAATGGTGAAGCCAAGGATAAATAATCTGTATTATAAAACCTATATCAATTTTCAATGCAAAGATCTTGAAGTGAAATAGGTTGTCCATTTAGTGATTTATTTATAAACGAAAACTTTTTAATGTTTCTTTTTGATTGCTGATAGCCCAAAATAATGAATCACAATGTAGAATACCAGTAACATCAATTGATAGATTTTCCAACTGTTTTTGATCAATAATAAGTTTTGTTAATAATTCCGTTTGAGAATATGAACTAAAGGACAAATCCAATGATTCAAGATTGATATAATGAACAAATCAGTCTATTGTTTTTTTTCACTGAAGTAAAACTTTCTAATTTCTCAAATACTTTCGGGGCTCCGGGTAGCTTGAGAATTGAACCAATTAACTCACTCCGATTATAAAAATTTTTACAAGCACTTATGTCTCCTGTCATTTTAAAAGAATTCAAAAATGTACAACGATTTATTATTAATCTATATATTTCATGAAATAATATTTGGGGACGACGATTTCTTTCTTATAATGATCTTGGTCCGGACCAATAATTTGTTGTAAATATAAGTAAACAAATTAGCTAAATTAAAAATTTCTAATTTATGAGCGAATGATGGATAATCAAAAGTTGCTTGAAGTAGTGATGATGGTAAATCCAATCCCTTTTGAATAAGTAATACTCTAGCTCAAGTATCCATTCCAAAAATATCCGAGCAACTGTTTTTTATCAAATTTATCAATAAACTTCAAGGACAAATTGCGATACAAGGAATAGTTTAAATTGCGTAAACTTTTTTTAAAAAGATCCCCTGATCAATGGCTATCATATGATATTTTTTCTTTAAAATTGGATGCTTGCTCGGACAGAAATCTTGTCTTAAATAAAGTTAACCAAAAATATTAAATTAAATTTTTGATCGCAATGTCTCTCGTTTTCAATAACTATCCACTAGAAGTGCAATATATTTTATAAAAACTTGTAGCCCCTAACTAAATCTACAAATTTTATTAGTGTCATATTTCTGAATTCTAGTTAAAATCAGAACTTTATTTAGACACAACTAAAAAATGATCAAAATTATTTTGTCATTTCAAGAAAATCATCAATAATTTCTACATATAAAACATTTTTTGTAACAATACAATCTTAAAAACAATACAAGTAATATCAGAGAAAAAATTATTTTGCATCTACTGTAAAGATTTTAAATCTAAATCATGAGAATATAATGAATAATCGCCAATTAAACTTTAAGGAATAATTGTTTATCTTTTCTTTAATTCTCATAATATGTGCTTGCAAACTTTAAAGTATGTGTAAAACAATATTGTCTTCAAGCTACTTAGTATCACTTTTAATTTTTATTAAATAATAAATTTTTATATATAACAGCTTTTGAAAAATATTACATTGGAACAAAATGATTGGCAATAATTTATCTCAAGATCCTTACTAAGTTTATCTATAAATTTCAAAAGTGAATTGTAATGCATTGAGTAATCAAAATTACATAAATTTTATTTTAAACGAATCCCTTATAAAGAGCTATCATATGATACCTTGTTTATTAAAATTGGATGCATACTTGTATAGAATTCTTAATTTAAATGAGATTAATCAAGAGTGAGTGAAGAAAACTCTTTCTGACAATCATTTTGCCAGAATTTTCAAGGAAGAGAAAAATTTAAAAAGCTCTACAAACAAATAATACAAACAACAGCAAAACATGAATGAGGAAAAGCAGGGTGAACATACATATTCCAGATGAATCACAGCAAACTATGGAACTAAAATGAAATATGACACAATAAGCATCAGCAAGAAAGGTGGAGAAGCAGTTCGCAATACTTTAAGCATAGGAGAAATTATCCAGACAGGTTTTAACTTTTTAAGCTCTGGAGCAAGAACTTTGAACAATAACATCAAAATAATAGCACAAACAACAATACTATTGAACAGAGTCAAGAAATAGATGCAAATGTGAAAACAGAAACTTTATTGAATAAAGAAATGGGAGGAAAAAATACATCAAAAAATGATAAAGGCAAAGCAAAAGAAGTATACAACAATGATATAGAAATTAATGAAGAAGAGGCTAGTGACAATGAGTCAGTGGTAATAGTAAACAGCTATCAGAGTAAACATGAAGAGTGGAGAAAAATAACAAAATTGAAAAATATAAAGCCAGAGTAAAGTATCAGTAGTTAAGGAAAAAAATTTAGGGGAGAAAATCCAAAATATTACTTCAGTATCAGACAAAAATATTATTATAATCAGAACTGAAAAAAAATAGAGATGACTGTGAACTATACATTGCAATTTATTTTGAAAAAAAGGAAGATATGGAAAAGGCATGTGAAATGGAAATTGAAGGGAAAATGGAAAATGATAAATCTAAACTTGTTAAAACTGCAATAACTCAAAATAGAAATAACAATAAGGATATTCCTGTAGACATGCGTGAACAAGAATTCAAATACATGCTTAATCACAAATTTTTGAAAAGTAATTTCATGTACAATGTTCACAAGTGATATATGGTCATCAGCAATTGCATATTTTGATGATCTTAACATTTTGGAACAAATTTTATCTGAATGGTCACAAACAGTAGGAGAAGAGTCATGCAGAGTGTCAATCCCAAGTATGACATTTACAGAATTAAAAAATAGAAATGCACATGCAGTTAAATTAATTAATTTACTACCTGATATGTTACCACGTGAGTTATACTGGTCGAAAATTGATAAAACATATACATATTGGGTACCCGATATGTGTATGTTTTATCAATTTTCGATCAGTGATTACATGTGATCATAGTACAAATGGAAGCAAAACATATTATTTCTCTTGAAATCTATATGGAAAAAAGAAAAGAATGGCAATTGCAACATTAGAAAGTAAAGAACAAAAAAAAAACTTATAGAACAAATATGGAAAACAGGAGAATATAATATTAAAATAGTGAATATAAAGACAAAGACATGTTATAGATGTCATGCAAAAGAGCATTTGGTATTGAATTGTCCAATTGCAAATAGATAAAAAGAAATAAATGAAAAAAAGACAAAAGATTTTGAAAAATATGGATACATATATAAGACCACTAGATCACATTTATACTATACATGTTTCCAAAATTGATTTTGAATTTTTGAGATACTTCAACTTTTGAGATTTATGCAGAAGCTATTCTATATATGGAAGTAAAAAAAGTATCCAGTTATGTGTATATTCAATCAAAGAATAAATCTGGGTGGTCAAAA